AGAAAACACTGGGAAATAAAATATCAAAAAGCCGAAGAACTAAAATTTATTCATACGGGATATACATAATAAAATGAGCTTCCACACTGCAAAATGATGGATAGAATTCAGTCAATGCTAAGGACTAAGTAGCATGAAATTCATTTTTCAGTGATTAATCAGTTTAATTCATTCAGTCTCACAGGAGGTCGATCATGGGCCAAATGGCCAATTGGTAGTATCACTGATTGCAACACTGTGTGATAGGAGAATTAATCTCTCAGAGAGCATCGGTTCCATCGAAGTTGCAGATAAATCTTGCTGAAGAGTGCCAACAAGCATGAAACCTAGGTTTTTCTATCCTCACACAGCAAATCGGAATCTGAATGAAACTATAGAAATAATTTATTGAGAGTTGTGATTACTTTGATGTAATTATCAGAGACAATGGGTGTTCAGAACGCAATCCAGTGAATACTACTTAATCACTGTGCGCCGCATCACACAGACAAATCAAATATACAATTTGTATTCTACGGTGGTGCCAAAGTTTTACACTTATGCCGCCATCAGTTTTCCTTTCGTTTCTACTAGTACTTTCAATGGTCGTTTGTAATAAATGGCTGTACAAAAAGTCGCTTTGCAGCAAGGACGTTTTACTGTGTATTTATATCCTCTTACTGATTTGTGGTTATACACTGTCCAATCTGATAGGTATCCTAAAGATCTCGATGATTCAATAGCTATTCCTTCATATTTATGTCACTGGAAAACTTGCGTACTTTTTATTTGAAGATAAATGTGGTTTGCATCAATCAATAATTTGAATACATATGTTAGTGCATTCTTACATTTTTCAACAATCTGACTGTCTGAGCTGAATCAGTCTGGGCACACGAGTGAAGCGACTAAGCACCAAATTGAACAGACAGCCGCTTGGTATTTCGTCCACCTTGATCTGGCCGGCAAGTACAGGTGATCTGTTTGAGAAGACTATAGCTGGTTATGCCAGTCAGCAGTATGTTTGATGTTTTTATTTTGAGGTCCCAACCAGGCTTACCTGAGAAATACTAAAATTATTTTATTACAGACACATGGTTTATTTATACAGTGTAGCAACTTTTCACTCGGCACTTGATACTGTTCAGTCGAATTCTGATCACATTTCAGATAGAATATGAATTGACATGAAAAATAGGTAAGTCACTGTTTTGATTTTTTAAAAATTAAGACTTCCACGAACAAAGTTGGTTTCGGCAATATCGTTCTCTCGAGATGTACAATCGTATTTGTTGAAATATAGTTAGTATGATTCATCGTATCAGGTGTATTTTGTGTTATCGCGGCGTCATATATTAAAACAAATAACAAAGTAAACAAATACTTTGTATTACCTCTCAACGACTTGATCTTACTAGAAGATCCTTTTCAAGAGTATAAGTCTGATATTAAGTTTTCGGGTTAATATTCAAGTCTAAGTGACCTTTGCGAACATTCAGTTGGATCGTGATATGTAACAAAGTTCAATATAATATGAGTGAATTGGCAAATCTGTCTACAGATATGCAAGTAGGGTGCAACAAAAATAGGTTGGGGAAATTTTGTTCGACCATGAAAAGTACAGTGAAGTTGTGTCATCAAGGGGGAGGAAGACTAAGTTATTGTTTTAGAAATCACATATATAATAATTATTGATAATAATAGTAACGACGATAATAGTACTTATACTTACGATAACAGGACAAAAGGATTTATGTTACATATAGAATGGTTCATAGAATGTATATAACTCGGAAAGCAGCGTAAAATTGATGAAAATAATTAGTGTGCCAAAAAATGTCGGCATCTATTGGTCAATAATTATTGTCGTTCATGGCCATGAAAATAATACATGAATGAAAAGTAGTACCTGAGCTAAAAAGTACTCGCTTACGCAATAGCAGTACGAAAAGTAAGAGGTTAGTTAGGCTTTAAAACTGAAAATTTTAAGAATCAAGAAATGAATAAGTACAAGGAATGATGAAGCTGTTTCCGAATGCAAAGATACTTGCCAGAAATTTGATAATATAAGATAAAGATTTATTTACACCCTTCGGATGCATACGTTGTACTTTGTAGACTAGTGCACATAAATCTTCAGGAACTGTGACCATTGTCATCCGTGCTTCAATATAGAGCCGCTAAGTGATCTGCATCGACCTTTATTGAGCTATGGAGGAAGGTGTTGGCGTCAACGTTGAACAATCTGCCTCTGCGTACAGCCTAGCTCCACAACAGCACTTGAAATGATATATATAAATGGAAGTATCAGTTTTTCCTTCACTCACGTGTTCACCGTTAGACAACTAGTTTGGGTTACGTGAACAGGAGTTGCATAGAATATCTTTTTGAAAGTCTTCATTAGTCTGCATTTTAAAACCTCATCTGCTGTATCTCCATTGAATTTCAGGGTCAAAATGATCTCTTTCTCAAAACTGATAGAATCCTGACCGGTAGTATTCTGATATGGATTTTTATCGATGAATCTCTCTGGGTATTCATCTGCGATGAATGTATATCTAAGAAGTTGAATTTCACCTTCCGAAATTTCGAAAGTACAATAAACGAAACAAATTATTCTGTTCGCAAAAGTCTTCTTCAATAGGAGTTTTGGATTAGAGTCAATCAATGAAGCTACCCGTGGTTTGACAGACTAGTTTCAAGGAAACTAGGTAGTGACTGTAGGCGAAGGGAAAACTTTGATCAGACCAGGTGATAAATCTGTCTCTTGTCCAGTTTACTTCACTTGATGCTCTTAAAATATACTAAGGCTTCTTAAGTTAAACTGTCTTAGTATGAACAAACACTTATTCCTAGTATGACAACACTGTCGACTTTCATTCTTATGCATTACCGAAAAATTAAAGAAGCTTTTCAGTTTCATTCACTCTAATTTCCTACTCTCTACAATTCCCTTGAATTTAAATATCTTCATACTCACCTCACTTTATGCTTTAAATACAGCTGTCTTGTGTCAGTTTTTTAGAATTCTACCTTTCACTTCAGCCAAGGCCCATCAAACAAAATGTTTGAAATATAACTTAATACCTTACATAAATAATCTCTTTGGAACTGTCCTGGTTAACCTTTATGACTTCATTTTAGTCTAACCTCTTCTGTTTATTTGTTTCTTCTTATACTTAGTGGAAATATTGTTCACAAAAGGTTTCAGGCAATTGTTTTCTTTTAAAATCTGTTTCGCTTTCGAAATCTCACTTTCCATATTCTCCTGATCTGTTATAATGTTTTAATGTTCACACACCCAACAGTCATCTTATGCACGATTTGACTGGATATAAATTTGACAGTAAATGCTAAAAATGGGAATACTTTTTTAAAGAAGCTCGTGCTTAAACAAAGAAACAATCCTGAAAAATCGACGGTGTGGCTACAGAAAAACTTTTAGCGCTCTACCTGACTGACATTTATAACTACATGTGGAGAGATTAGTTGAAAATTTTAGTGCATATATTCCTGTCTACAAAAGATATGTAGATGACATCATAACTAAACTTGATTAGCTGAAAAATGCTTTATCAATTCTCAACTGTGAATGGATAATGCTAGAAGCAGAATATCCTTAACAAGTGAGTAAGAAAAAAATGACTAAATTGGTCGTTTTGTACTATGCCACCAGGCTAGGAAACTGGTTCGGATCTCAAACGACACATCAATTCTATCGAGGTTGTAAATACGTTTTGCTGACGAGCTTCAGAAAGCGCGAAACCTAAGTAATGCAATGCTTCTTGCTGATTGCCCCCAATCAACTAACAAAAGTTTGAATGTTTATCATACTTAGACATTGTAATGATCCACTGGCAAAATTGATCATTTTAATGATCCATTTATAAGAAATTTAAATGGATAAGGCATTATGCAGATTGCTGTCTACATCAGTAAAAACTGGCACTATTCAGATGTCTGCTCAAGTGAGCTCAAAGACATATGCAAAAGATACTTTGGGAAGTCGATGTGAGACTTAATCGAAGTGATTTTAGAAAATAATTAAATTCTGACAACTGAAAAGACTTAAACATTAAAGGAATAAAATTTACAGCAAAATTCAATATTATGAAAAAAATAAAACTTATGTGTTACTGTTAACTCTCACAGCTTTTCAACGATGGAGCATCGGATCACAAATATATGTGCAGGATAAGCCAATGTATGCAAGGTAGAGTAGATGAAGTTTATTCCAAGATGACTGCAACAATAAATCAAATCAGGCTAAAGATGTCCAACTTCGTCTACAGCTATACATTTCACGGAAACGAGTCACAATATTGATTTGAATTGATATTTCAAAGCTATTTGCTGAATCACTTACAAACGTATACTTCGGTTTGTTGAAGCCGTGGCTATAAAGGAGTTTAGACCTTCTATTTCGTTGAGTTATACCACACTGGGTAACCCAGCTTTAACAAAAATGGGAGTTTTTATGCTTTCCGTCTCTTCTAGCCTCAACTTACAACTCAACCTTGTATTATACTAATTATTTCTTGAACTGAACTCGCCTTCTTTATATTTCATGTAGTTGTGCATCGCAAGAAAGTGTATGGCCAGATTGTTTGAAATGTATTGCGCTTATACATTGTATATTCCAAATAAACTACACCTTCTCATTGTTTTCTCAAAATTCATAATGACGACTAATTGTATCAAATCTCATTTTGATTTCTGAAGTATATGTTCTCGCAATAAAATTCACATTTATAGAAAATTCGTTATTCACTCTTCTGATCATAGAAATCTTTCGCTGTCTACCAATGAGTTTCTTTGTCTCCCTATGACTAGACAAAATTACATATTAAACGAAACATAATATGATCAATAGACGGTGTAATTTAAAGATGATAATTTGGGAAATCACTTCACATAGTACACTAACCATAGCTTTATTTCATTAAAGTGTTTGTAAAGTAATGATAGTGGAATCAAATGGTACAGGCCCCTTTTGGCTCCCAACTTTTCTCCCTAGAAATCTGATTGCTGCTGAGGAAGATACACAAAGCTCTACTAGAGTATATCACATTATCTTAGTAACGGCTCATGTAATAGCTACTGCGCTCAATCAAGCGCAAAATAAAACACAATGAGATTGTAAATATATGCAGAAGTAAGAATTTTCTTTCGATTAATTATTTGTAAGTAGTTTGTGACATAGTTCAACAGATTGGTGTAAAGGAATATTTTCCCATTTTGTATACATAACAAGCTCAGTATGTTTCCTAGCATAAATTACAAATATCAGCAGTATGATAAGCAGTAAAAAATAGGTTATGCAGATAAATAATATGTAACTTCCTAAGCATAAAATTATGCTGTATTTTCTGTCACAGAATGTATTTGTCATAGTAAGTAAAAGCTTATTTAAATTATTACAAGGTAAAATTTTTGAAAACAATTGCTCAAATTGATCATTTAACATGATATCAGCTTGTTTCAATAAAGATTGGACAGATGTTTCAAATAGTGGACGAATTGGCTCTTCCAATCTCTGTGGGTCAGCACTGAGCTAAATTGTGAGCAAAGCAGAAATATGTATGTATTGAATAGACAAGAACTAAGAAAACTTGCTAATAAAGTCTTGATTAGATAAAAAACAGTATGTCTCTTATAGAATGTGATAGGTTTTATAGCGGAAAGATACTGATTTGCTTACTGAAAAGGTTATGTTGCTGTTTTTGGAATTAAAGTCTTAAATTATTCATATTTGTCAGTGAAAAAAGATGAGAATCTACAAGTTAACCTGGAACAAATTTATTTCTTACAAAGATAATATTAAGCCAGGTGCGCCTCAGTGGCGACTAAAGGGAACAAGCTTTTACGGAAGACACTGAGATGTTTCTCCCTGTCAGAGTCATGAATTTAACAAAGCGGGAAACTAATAATTTCAGCTTTTATTCAAACTATTATTGGGATGTTGCGGAACATACTACTCAGTTATATTATAGGATAATTTTTCAGGGTTCAGAAATTATTTTTGACTGCTACTTTGGTCACTGAAGGACAAGTAAATTCATGTTACAACTTCCGAACACAAAGGTGAGACTTAAGGTTGCGAACTGGTTATGATTCGACTGTGTATAGAAGATGCATTTGGGTTCCCTTGGAATTGTGGGGAGACACTCCGTAAATCCCTGGAAATAAACAAATGGAAGATGCCGAATATTTACAGACGACAAAATATTCAATACTAGAACTGAATGTATGGTACTGTCTTTCAAGTCGGGTCTGTGTACCTTAGTGAATAACCGTCCTCTAGTAAGGAGGAATTTCAACCCACTGTCTAGCACATCATTTAACTAGGTGAAACGAATCCATGAACAAAAGGAAGGTATGAGATTCCCCTTGATGATAGGAGGTGCATAGCGTTGGAAGTCGATGTAATGTCCATTCTGTGTTGATTTTCTGTAGATTTATCTTGTCAGTAGTACATTCGGAGATGAGAACATAGAGTTTGTTTCAAACTCTAAAGTGAATTTAGTGCATGAAAAAACAGTGCTGAGCAGACTGTTGAATTTACATACTTCATTGAACATGATGAAAATATCATCAACTTGTTATTTTTAATAGACAGGCTACGAGACAGTCAAATGTTATTGGGTCAAGAGGGGGACCAAATATGACACCATCCATTTTTGTGCAGTATTCTTAGCTGAATTTGAACTAGGTGCTACAAAATTCATCTGAGAAACAGTTTCATTTTTCAACTGCATCATCTACACCCAGTCTGATTGCTGGTAAGTCACAGTCTTCAAACTCATCCATCTATCAATAACCAAAGTATGTTTTCCTTCATTCTCTTGGAACAACTTATGATTTCTTTTTAGACATAATAATTATCACACATCTCTGTTACCTGTTTCAATTACTTACTCATTGTTGAAAAATTTAAATGCTTTTGAGAAACGATTTTGGTTATTTGAAGTAAGATATTCATAGTTTGGCCTAATTATGAAATATATCATGGTTGCTGACAAGCTCTTAAGCGAACAAAAACATCAAACTTATAAATCCCGAAAGCAAACGAAAATTTATCGCAGCACATAGTAACAATGGTTCTTTCGTAGTCTACCAACATATTTCACTTAGTTTTTAATTAAGTCGTAGGTATCGCAATAAATTGCCTACTTTCCAATAAATGACTGCTAGCTACATCGTCCCAAGTATGAATAATTTAGAAGCAGTCTTTATCATTGCAATAATGCATGACGCAAATATAGCACCGTTAAAAGTATTAGTTGGTGTCATATGTTGAGGATCGATGGGCAAGAAGCCCTATACATTAATTTCTTATTAGCCCTCAATAGCTACAAGTTTGTGATTCCAACTTGTTTCAAACAATACTGAAATAAGTAGCTGTATCTCCTAATCTCTCCAGCTATAACTAAGTCTTCGTAGGAGTAGACTGTGTACACTTTTCGGTTACTACAAGGTCACCTATGATAGATTTCTATCAGGGCTAATCACGTACAACTAAACATCACCATTGTTTACCACTGGTGACTGATTTCGTACAGTAGCCATTGTGTAAAACTTGTTGAAGCTTATATATGGTAAGTGCTAAGAAGGGTGGAGCGCCGATCACTATAGATGACACCAGCAAGTTCTAAATTTCCTTGGAACACAACCCCCAGTTATAGAATTATAGTGAAAATAGATTTGTGAGTAAGTCATAATTAGATTTATAGCAGTTTTTGCTCAAAGTACTCAAAAAGATGTCTTACTTTGAATAATGTCATTGTGTAGCAAACTTTGTATAAAGCGTGCCAAATAAAAACGACCAACTGAATAATTAAAATGTACTAAAGTGTTACGCTCACTAATTCTAACTCTCAATGTTAACAGGGAAGCTCAAAATACCTTGCAAATCAATAGCGAACAATGGACATTGAACTCATCCAACTGGTGTTGACAAGTCAATGAAACTGAGGCAGTCACTTTTGATGAAGAAAGCAATAACATGTGGTACGAACATGAACTCAGTATTTCACAAGATTTTAACGTCACTGAAGCAATTTCTGAGTGACAAACGAAACTGAAAACGACTTTTTTATGGGTGGAAATCAGTTCGAAAAACAGGGTATACTAGATGGTAGTAGTCTTATGGCATTCTGACTGGAGCACTTGACGTTAAGAACGCTAAATTCGGAAGACCAGATGTCCAATACTTAGAGCAATGTTATTCTAAAATGTCAACTATATTCCAGTCAATATATTCTCGTACAAAAAGCCGGCATTTTCATCAATCTGTTACACTTCATGACGTACGACATAAAACCTGGAAATTCTTTCAAAACATGACATCGTTGAACAGGTCTAACTCGATTTTATTTAAGTCTACTGATTTTGACCACATTAGTGTCACGCAAGCCTCAAATTGTGTGTACTCTAACTCGAGTTCTGCAGCTAAGTAAGACTCATTGTCAAGTTACTTATTTGATAATCCACATTGTTATGTTATACCCGTGTGTTTTGTTTGTGTTAACCTCAGATTTCATCAGCCTGTAGTTTGAGGTTTGGACTCTCAACTCATGCCTACTGACATTTAATATTTTGGCAATTTCTCGGTATATCTCGGTTTACGTTTACTTCATGGCAATCCAATTTAATTGATGTAAAAAGGTGTATGTCGAATATTACACTTCCTCTGTTCTATCCCTTATTTAGTTTATCATCCAATCAAAATTAACGAAGGAACGGGCCAACTTTAAATGTAATTCAAAAATCCATGAGTAGAAAGGGAACTAGTTTAATTCATGTGCGAGATTCACATATGATAGGTGACTGAAGACTTAACATAAATTCCTTATACGAGAAGGCTAGTGGATACGGATCTCTTTATAGATCGTTTAGCTGGAACCCTTCGATCATATTCACTTCTAATTAATTACTTACGATCTTCATTTCGATTGGCTGCTTTCATGCACCCCACCGATGGTATGAATTAGATTTGGTTCTTTGGATAGTTCTCTATTTCAATTAGTTGTGACTATCGGCAGGAGATCCTGCACCTAGGCTTCAAGTTTGCTGACACTTATGAGCAAGTTGTGTCAGTAAAATTATGTTTACTGAGAGATGCAACTAGTATCACCTAGTGCAACAGTCAGCAACTTCACTCATTCGGCTATTCGGGCCATGGCTGGCCTCCGGTAGGACTGGATTACATAGATTTACTGTTCACTGGAAAGCAACCGATTCCATGTTTTTTGGTCCTGAATACCAAGCGGATTCTCTTGGTTATTTTGAAGCGCGAAACCCAAATATCTTAAAGACAACGTCGCTGACATCACTCGGTGATGTAGGTTCGGATGAAAGAGCAGATATCAGCTTCCTAGCTGACGAAAGCCAACAAGCATAAAACTTCCCGAAGTGGTGCAGGGGTTCCTGTAGATTCTTTCCAACCAATAACATCCACTAGACAGCACTGCAATGGTGGGCTCACTAGCTTGTTGACCACATTGTAAAATGATCGGTATAATTCTGTTAACAATCGGGACTTGACAACTGATTGCTCTTTGTGACCAATTAATGAAAATTGCGCAGTATTCATCGCAGTTTCTCACAATCGTATTATTACAGCTGTGTGTTCTTTATGTTAATCGGGTTTTCTTAGTAAACCAAATGGAGAAAATCATTGGTCTTCCATACAGATATGTCATGAACTACCGAAACTTGGATGTTGTCAATACAGATACTTGAGAAATATTTAATAGTGGTTTATTAATTTTTTCTAACCACTTAATCCAAACTCTCATAAACATATTGAAGATATGAACTCTAAACAACTAGTCCCCTTGATGAATTTAAACAAACGCAATGAGAAGACGGAGGTTATATGAAACAAGTGATGTATTAGCGCTATACACTTCGAACAATCTGATCATATATGAACTTGTCGAATACTTTATATAAAACTTAGAAAGGTTAATTATACTAATAGAATTATGATTAAAAACGATATTTTCCTCCTCTCATGCTTTCTTTCTATCCTTTATTAACTTTTGTAAGTTTTATATAAATTATTTAAAAGTTCATGTGTAGTCAGATTGTTTGAAATGTATAACACTAATACATCACATGTTTCAGATGATCTTCGTCTTCTCAATACGTTACTTAATGATACTAAATGACTATGGTTTTTTTGACTGTTCGGATGCAGATATATTATGTATACATATGTGTGATGTCTGATTAAGCCATGAATAGTGGTTACACTTGTAACGATATTCCTGTTGGCTATTATTGTTTTGTGCGACTGCGATCAAAACTATAATCCATTTTCTCAGTGTGACCAAGTCCATGGTAATGCGACTGTTACTGTAAACACGGGTATTTAATACTGTATAAAATTAACCGAACTGAACTAGTTGATACAACTGGTTCTTTGAGACTGGTAGAAATGTCCGTGTTACTATTATAAAACTTCTTCCTCCGTCATTGCAAAGTACTAACTCTGGTGAACCCCAGGTGTGGGTAAATCAAAATTCCATGGTAGTATTCATCAGGGGCCTAGATCAGTTCAAGAAACACTGTAGGCCTGTGAGCACTGGACAGCTATTTTGCCCTAGTATGGGGCTTCTGAGCAGTATATATCCAGGAGCTCACAAGGGGCGCGAACTCAGGATAATTGCGTTGTATCGCGAAGTGACAGAAGCAGGAAACTTGTCGATCATTCAGTTCTGGCTCAGTGACTGAATGATTAGCGTGTTCTCTTTGAAACCTGAAGAGTTTGAGTCTGATTCCTAGTGAGGTCATGGACGCACACCGTGCTACGACAAAACAGCTGCTAAGTGCTCTTCAGATGATATCAGCCCGTAATTAATGCTAACTTTGAAATAAAATCCTCATAAACTTAAGGCGACAATTTAGTTTATAGTACAACAATGAGAACAGTATAATTATCAGACAATACTGCGATAACTTACATTTTTAAAAAACTTCAATCCATCTAATATTTGATCAAGCCTTTGAGTTAAATTTTTATTTTCTTCAAGCGTTGTAAAAAAGGTGATTAACATATTGAGTGAAGCAGAAATTTTATCATATACTGACATGAATTGTTAATCTGTTCAACTATATCTAATACGTTATAAATTGGATCATTGAATTGAACAAATCTTCTCATCTCTTCCAAATAATTTAGTATCTTCGGTTTCAGTGTTGTAAATTTAATGATTTCTTGAATGGAAGGCTAAGTAATTAATGATAGGAAATAATTTTTTTCTTTTCAAAAAAGTATGCAAATTAAGATTAATTTAGACTGCTACACGCTTGTTCCTCTTTTTTACTTTCGAAATTATTCATCCTTGACAAAAAACAAAAGCTGAAATACATTTTTTAACCAAATCAAATCATTTTGCGACTATGAACGTAATAAGCTTCGAACAGTTGATTTAACTGGTGCTTTACTACCAACTATCAAAGTTAATACTTCAATGTTGTAGAAGACATTAGTCCAACGGATAACACTCTGATGTTTGAAGTGGTCGGTTTCGAGTTTGAGTCGTGGTGAGAACAACATCGCTCACTTGGAGGCAGGTACATCGAGCTGACTAGTGAATCCCAGTTTAGGTAAAACGTGCGTGCTGGATGCCACTGCTAACCACTATCCATCAGTAATATATAACTCAAACACAGGCAATATAAAGGTATACATGCAGGAGCTCATATACCAGTAAAGACCGATCACTTCGGTTCGCTCGAAGAAGGGATAATACAAGCAACAACACTAGATTGTTAATGACCTAAATGAAATCAAGATCTGGTTAGCAGTGAGGGTTTCGTAGCTCATTGAATAGATCACCAAACAGACAACTCAGAGGTCGCTGGTTAGAATGTTTTCCACAACCCGGAGTTTTATTTCAGTAGCAAGCACCACCCAATATCGATAAATTCTTCGTGTCTAAAATTTTCGAAGTGTCACTTATGAGTGTTGAAATCAACTCTTCATAGCTTCCAGTGGTTAGGAGACTAATAAAGTGAAGCCTTCATAGAATGTTTGTGTTGAGTGTTGATCTTTTTTTATTTGCGTAAGGCTACTATCCACAAAATGATATGCTTTCCTAAATAAAACTACTGGTTAAGGAACTAGTGCCAATATTTGTGCTGAGTATTTGTTGAATGACTAGATGAATACAGTTACAAAGGTACATCAAAATTTGACTGGATGGCACACAAGACATTACTACTACTATTGCCATTACTACGTGGTCAATAAACTCTGACCAATTCTAAGTACTGTGAGCTAGACAGTTGGAACAGTGACCCACTGGTGGCCACTTCTGTGGACAATTCAGCCCTAAAGGGAATCATTTGTAGCCCTAAAGGATTATTAATAGAATCGCTGACATCGGTATTGAATAACACAGGTCCATATCATAAAGAGAAAAACAGTTCTGTCATGCTTGCCGATGTCAGGCTGATGAGCTCCAATAAGTACAAAGCTTGTTTAGAGTGGAATTCCCAACACCTAACACCAAAATATAGTACACTACAGTGTCGTATGACTTGTATCAGAGATCATACTTCTTACTCGGTCAATAGACTCCAATCAGTGACAAGCACTACAGACTAGACATCTAAATCGATTACCCATTGGTAAGCAATTCGTATAGAGATTTATTTTACTCTACTCATCTAGAATATGGTCAACAGTAATATAATCAAAGGTAACCACAAAACTTTTTTACATTACTGAGTTAGTCACTTTTTTGCCGATTACAGAGTGGCTTGACACTGCAATAAGATCCTCACCGAAATGGATGCCTAAAGGCATCATATCTGGATTCGAGGACTTCCATTATCTTTTCCAACGATCATAAGTAAGAAGATAATAAACGATGATGTTGGATACCCACGACATTCTTAATATCAGTGATGATGTAGTGATTACATTCTCAACTGTGGTTGATATTAGTGATATTTTCCAGCAGTTCTCAAATTTTCTGATATATTTTTCTTTGGCCACAAAAACTGTCTGATCCGATGTTTGCTTCATAGATTATCCCCGCCTTAAAATCCTGTATCAGAACTGCATATTGCGGAGCAGAAAATGAGCCATTGTACCATACAAACAGCAGTCTATAAGTTATCATTCAGACTCGAGCAGCTAGTGAAGCTGTCGACTGACAGTCGTTAAATGGTTGCATTGTATTTCTCCTATGCCTCAGCTTTTTTGCTGTATTCAACCGTGGCCTTCTGTCGATACACTGATAGACCGACATAAACTTATCGGCGTTTCGAAGCCATATCTTTCAGTGAACAGTCTGTCTAAAATTTATAGAATATTCAATTTATATATGATTGGAAGTTAACATGGTTGTAAGATTTATTTAATTATGCTTTTGAATATATGAGATAGCCGGGGTGTGACAGACTTGTATTATTGATACCAAGTGGTGGTTGGAGATGAAATGAAAACTTGGGTTTCAATAGGATTTGCAAATGGTCTACAGATTGTCAATCCGATGTTCTACCAGCTTAGCTACGACACTCAGTTACTAACAAGATTTTAATTTCGAATTCTATCTCAACCCAGATTTTCATTTCACCTTCAATCATTACTTAGTACCAATAATACAAGTCTTTGAAAGCTCAGCCATCTTAGATAGCCGAACTAGTAATCAATTTGACGCCCCACCTTACTATTTCAGTTCCGGTTGGATTGGGCAGCCAGTGTAAACACGTTGAACGGAAAGTAATGCATTATGGATTCGCATGGCAATCCAAAGTGCCCTTGGTGACTGAATTGAAACTAAGATCTAGTCATCAACTGGTTATCGTAGCTGAGTTGGTGAGCATCAGGTGGGTAATTCGGAGATAGCTGGTTAGAATCGTGCCGTAACCCATATTTCCATTTCAACTCCAGTCATCATCCAGCATTGATCTTTGCAGCCAAGAGTAAACTGATTTTATTCAGTGAACATAGCAAAGACTAGAAAAATAATTTCTCAGTGACATTGCTAATCACATCAGCTGAAAATGTTACCAGTAAGTAGATGTTTGTAATATCTATGAATTTCAACAGTATCCTGCAACTGCACTTTACCTAAAATACTGGTGATAATCACGGAAATATTATTAATGAGCCTTTAGTAAGTTTATTTATTGTATGATTCCAATATAATACAAGCACAATAAGTGAATTTGAAGTTGGATACATTTGTAAAGAGTAAAGTACAATGAAGCATTATGTTACGAAAATTATTCATTCTACTGCATGGCCATAAACATGGGCACAGTCGACTGAATTCTCAATGATAAATTCACTGAAAGTATAGTATTCAAGTGAACTGAGAATCAACCATTTGCACTGCACTGCTTATGAATAGTTCAAGGAAATATCATGAAATGATTTCGTAGCTTCAACTGCAGTTTACAGCATACCTAATTTTCATCAAGAAAAAATGGCAGTTTTCAAAGGCAATTCAAGGAAAAGAAGATGAAGCTTCTAAAACTCCCAACCCACTAAAAGGTCAAATATTCTTACTGCCCTAGAAAACACAGCAGCAATAGATCAGGACGAAAGCCGATCAACGTTTTACATTGGAAATCCCTGATTTCAGACAAAATTTTCAAATCTGAAATAATATTAGAGTTAACCAATTGAGTACATACATGATTAAAACAGATTTAGTTTCAATAAAGGTAAAAGACCAACTTAATAGTACTACCTTGCCATGGCTTTTGAAACTAGAACTGTTCACCTTAATCTGGATGAAGGTAATAACCCTGACAGATAAACTACTTGATATTACTGATCGAGAGAAAACAGGTGAGAAAAAATATAGTAATTGATTAAGTTTGGAGGATTGTGTGGATTTTATTGGTTTCAGGTTAGTATTCATCATGGACTGACATCACTTGGAGGAACATTGGAAACGTGGAAACATTGGACAGCTGTTTTATCCTAGTGTGAGACTCCGTAGCAGTACGCACACCTGACCCCGACAGGAATTGAACTTAGGAACTTCCGGTTCCCTGACCAGCGCGTTACAACTGAGCTCCTTAGGTCAGGATTCAATGGTCCATATTTCCTACGTCTGTTAGTCACGATATAGTATGACCTCAGGATTAAATTCATAATAATGATCTTAGAATAAACGCATCACTGACAAATCCGTATATTTTCAAATAATGAAACAATATTACTAGTCTGAGAAGTTAATCAACTTAAGAATGAATTGTTATGCACAATTTCTAATAGAATCGTTGAAACAAGTATTAGTTGAATGCCAATTTACAAGTACAAACCAACTTATCAGTTTTGTAATTTTAATCTGGCAAGTTCTACACACTTAAGGAATACTAGCTTCTTCATAGATGCAGATTTACTTACTGATTAGTGCCAAAAAGAAAGAAATCTGTGTGAAGCAACACTTCCTGCTGACCAGGTCTTAACACCCAATAACTCTATAGACTCAAAAGAGTATCTCTAACTTCACTTATATTTTTCTTAAAGGAATGTTAAAACTCAGTAAGGTTCCCTATTGTAACTTTGTCAATAGTATTACCAAACATTAATGAAGCAAATGGCTAAATACCTAAGTGAAACAATAAAAGAACAAGTCAGGTTTCTGCAGAGTAACAAGTATAATAGATCAGTTGATCCTATGGCAACCATTCACCTATAGCTTTTGTTTCAAAGATAAAAAATGAAATTAGTGCTGACATTTATAACTGAACTCACCTTATAGTCTTTACCATCTAGATAGACCGATAACTTTCTAGCTAGTGAAGTTAAACTATCCAAATCAGGAGGTATAAACTCCGAAAAATTCATTTTCACGATTTCATTCACAGATGAGCTTATTAAAAAAGATAAAGAAGAAAGCACTTAAATGGTTCTTCAAATGACTTCAATCCTTGATGAAAATCACCCTTGCAAACCAACAAGTGAGTTCATATCCAGTGCTTATTTCTGACATACTTCAAGGGGGTTTTTCTGAAGTTCTGAGAAGGTCTTGACATAGGGTGTTAAACTCGTCAAGAGTAAGGTAGCCAGCCACTGATAACATGATTTTCACACCATATTGCCAATGGACAGTAGTAGGATTTCATCCCAATGACTGAATGGTAATGTATTAGCCGTGAGACCTGAAACTCCTGGACCTACTTCTTGCGGGGTAGTGGCTGTGCACTATATGTCCCGCATAAAACAGCTAGCTTTCATATCCTCCCATGGTGCCCCAACCAATGTGTATCTTTCATGAAAACTACTGTTAAATAAAAACGAACTTTGTTGTTGCTTCGTGAATTTGATAAACAGGTTACTGAAAATGACAAGGATACTACTAACTTAAAATAGGTAGTTGATCACCGAAGGATGCACCAAACAAAAGGATTCGATTAGCACTCATGGGATAAATATTTCGAAATATTCTTTGGAAATATCTGCTCTAAACTACTTGGTAAATTGAAAATATTTTCATTAGATTTCTAAACGTTCAAGTTATTCTCATGATTGCCTAGGACATTACGGTAAATTTACATTTACAAACCTAAAATAAAGACCTCTGTTAACTTAGAGATCTAAAAACCTTAAAATTAACTGAAATATAGCTGCACTTCAAATCAACTATTTATCTCCTTTTCTTTATCTATAGCGGTGAAACCAAAGGTGGATTTTTCGGGACAATAATAATTAATCAGCTGGACCTATCTTGTCCCCAGTAGTCCTCGGTGTTGTCACAAAAACAATAGTTTGTAAAGAAACTCCTGAGGTACTATGTACCAAAAGAGGTAATTAAGTCCTGTGTAGTAAAATGAGAGATGTGTAATTTCGATCATTACCTACTGGTTAATACCAATTTACCACTGCTCCGTTACATTCACCATTTTCCTGTAACAATTATATTTGATAAACCCAGTTTTAATGGAACATCTAGTTTAAATGGTATCGTGTGTTTTCAGTAGCTCATTGACACTGAAACTGCAATGAATAAAGATAATCCCGAAGGTTCTGCTGAACTTCTCGACGGGATATATTTGAGGCGAACGGAAAAGTCTTTTGATTAATCACACATCACTGAAGCTTAGAACAACCAACTTCAACTGCTGCCATTTTCAGACAAATGCTACAGTATTTCCTAAATACCTGGTTGATGTTCTCATCTACCACTGGATCAAATGCAGACCTCTTTTTACCCATTTTCTGCAATTAGAACACAGTAAGCACAGACGTGTCCGTGCTACTGTGTGAGGCAGTCCTCTACCAATCCTTCCTAAAATGGCTTATAACAATATGACAAACCTGTATCCATCACTGGTTTGATGTTAGCGGACGCCAGATGAGACAGTGCCTCTTCTAGTGCTTAAATTCGTGCTTAGTAGAAGCAAGTGTTTGTTATGACAGGAATGTAGGAGACGATAGCCGTTATCTTTTCGTTGAGATGAGATATGTGAGAAACATTTTTGCGGTTACTCACCTTCTCTGCTTAGGTACTGAAGTCTTCCGCTAGTGTGACTCTATACGAACGTTTCACATTATGTACCTAAATTAACAGCTAGTAGATTTCATCTTTTGTATCATCCTAGATTCGGTCGATTGGCTCATAGATAGAGGCTACAAGTAGGCCGATGCGATCGTCATAGTCTTCTACGACCTTAACAGATCCATTCAGATGGATCTACTGCGAACCACTCAAGAAGTGTGCTTTTTGCTCTACAGCTTGATGCCGTATCGACACTTATGAGGTGACAGCAAATAGCCACTGAATCTGTTGACATTTTTAGGATGAATCTTGCAGATCCATGATGTTGATAAGATGAATTAACGTGAGTAACAACAACTGGACCTTGCTTTCATATCTCAAAAGCAAAACATGGATTGAGACTTAAGAGTTTTGGCATGGGATATCCGTTGCATTGTCTGTTAAGTGGTTCAAATATCAAAAGCTTTGATATGAAATCTGTCTGGCTGTAAGTGGCTAGGAATAGTGTTTCGCCGACTTCGTTCGTCAACAATGATAGCAGTGTGAGAGGTTGGTAAATCCTTTAGAGGCTTAGCATTGGTTTCCGAAGGTGGAGGCAAGGGACACGACGCCAACAAGAAGGTAGTCTGTGGTTAGGTGCATTTTTTAAACTGCTCTAGGCTAACGAGCGGTTGGTATCTTCTGGTTGCACATACCTTATAAGTTTCCATGGGGTGCCTGAAACAGAAAAAGGACTCCGTTTGTGTGACCTCAGAGTGCATCGGAAATCTACTTCACATTTTAGATATATTGTTAGAGTGGGGATTGGTCGTGCATACATCAGACATGAAAACCCCTTATCACTAGTACCAGAATACTGTGAGACAGGTGAAAGTATACTATTTTCGGGACTGACCTGTATGAACCTCATCTTTTTCATAAGGAAAGCAGAATTCACGTGGTATTACTGGTCATCTGTGAGAAACACCTTACTGCTGTTATACCCAGCCAGATGTGCGACCTCAGCACTTGACCCCAATCATAATTAAGCCACATACATTGTTAAGGTAGTTGGATTTTACCTGACCACTGTCTAACAGACCGTTATAACATGTTAGAACCTCAATAAACAATCGCTGCAGCCTACACAGCTCTTTTAAAAATAGTGATATACAAGACGAACCAAAATGTCAAGGTAGCAGCTTTGATTTGACTTACCTGCAATAAACTAAGCATTATAAAAACGCTAAGCAAAATTTAAGTTGATATTTAGTCGTGGCTGAAGGTGAAAGAAAAACCTAGATGGTGCCATGATTCTAACCAGCTGAAGAGTTACCGGCCTAGAGATCTGCCTCACGTAGAGACCAAGTTGTTGGCCAGGTTTCACTTTAATTTCAGTCACCGAAGGTTTCACTCTGAGGCACTTATCTATCTGAACCCTTTTGCCAACAATTTTTCAGACACACTGAAACATAAAGCTACTTGTTATATTTTATTTACTTATTCCTTGTAAATCACGCTGTTTTAACACATAATTATCTCATCATCATCATCATCATTATCAACATAGGACCAGGCATTACTGCGTAACGGTCCGAGTTGACATACCTCACGTCAGTTCATCAAGTAGAAAGGTAGTGAGGTGAAGGATGAAGATAAGTGAATGCAGTCAAAAGAAATATAAAGTACGAGAAGAAAGGAAAGAGGAGTGACAAAATGGTGAGATTCGGTATAGCGTTGTTAAGATGAGGATAATGTGTGTATACATCTGCGCCACTGACATCGGTTCTGAGCCATATCACCTAGGGTCTCCAACCACTGGTTCCTCTTGTCCCACCGACCCCAACCACCTAATCTGCATCGCTCTACATGGCTTAAACCAACGGTCAGAGACTTCATACATTGGTGCCATGTTTTAGTCTGGCCACCTCGGGCCTTTTTCCAGCCTGGACCCACCTCAGCTAACATTGTGTGACGAGGCAATCGGTGACTGGGCATACGTAGTACGTGTCTCAACCATCTCACTCGATGAAGGTTCACAACCTCGTCAACTGACTTACCTCTTCTCCCCGAATTCCTACATCTGACTTCTGCATTAATCACATGGCGATACCACGGAATACGTCCTATACTACGAAGGCAACGGTGGTCAAACACCTGAAGCTTTTTGTATCCTCCACTTCCAATGGCCATGTTTCACAGCAATACAGTAGAACAGAGCGGACTGCTGTGCAGTACACGCGACCCTTAATAGACAAACGAATATCACGGCGGCGCCATAGGTGGCGCAAATTGGCAAAAGCCAATCGAGCCTTTTGTATCTTATCTTATTTTAAATGTTTTTCGAATAATTATCTGAAAAACATTTAAAATAAATTTTTTTCTCAATATGCATTCATTTTAAATAACCCTGGTAACTAAATAGTTACAAAGCAACGCTTACTTACGTATTTAAGTGACACGGGAATGAGTTTAATATTTCGAAATATCTCGAAACAATTGGCAGAAAAAGTGAATACGATCTTCTGAGATTCGTTAAAACTTTAGCCATCAAACATGTGAAATTTTATTAACGTTTTCATAGGGAGACAGCTACCAGACTTTCTTTTTCTCTCTGCATCTGACGTGACATTCTGATCTTAAACTCTCCTTCTTATTTTGTTACATCATCTTTATTTACGGTTATATCCCAGCTGAAAACACGGCTTTTTAGTATTATGTTTTGGTCAAGTTTGCGTTCCCCATATTGACTTCAAATTCAACTGAAACATTTAATTGAATTTTGAGGATTTGTGGGGATCTAGAGATTTTTACAAGTTGGCAATCACCATGGACTGACATCAGTAGGAGGAACATTAGAAACCTGGGAGCACTAGACGGCTGTTTCGTCCTAGTATGGGACTCCTCAACAGTGTGCACCCACCCATGAAAAAGGATACTTAATAATAACAAGACTACCTAGAAACCACTCACGCTGATCTGAAGGTTTTGGGAACCACATTGGAGAGATCCATAGACCATATCTGCAGGTCAGCATGGGTGGTTTCCAACTACTTATCTCATTCAGTTGTCATTTCATTGCAATTTTTTGTCAGAGATCACATCTTGTGAACTTGGCTGGATGATTTCCAACGGAAACTCTGTTGACATCACAGTTGTGTGGTTGGAAAACAACTCATTCATCTCGACGAGGACTGTACAGTTTGTAAATCATTTGTAAGTTAGTCATCCTATCCCACAATCGCTGACTTTTAAAACTTTTCAGACTGTTTCTATGCACAACGGATCTATAGTCTATACGACGTGAATTCTGTTCTTCTGTTGATTCTTAGACCACTTATTTTTATTTACCTTTCTGTCTTATTCTTCTTCAGATAGCCGAATGCATACTGTGGTATGTTGGTGAGGACGTCATAGACAGTAATTTAGCGATATGGAGCTCCTTTAACCCAATTCAGAGAAAAGATATTACCTTGAAACTGTGTTTTGAAGCTATGGGTACTAGGTTCGAGCCTCATTGGGAACAACATCACTGGGGAGCAGGTGCATCCAGCTGACAAGTCTCAAATAGACTTCATTCACTAGTGCCACGTTTTGGTCTTCTCATCCTGAGCCTTCTTCCTACTTAATCCAACTTTACTTAGCATTACATTTCGACTTTGTGTTGTCCTATCAACTAGTGAGGATCATATTTTTTCATTGTACTCATAAATTCAAATGTACAGCTCTTGAAAACGATTCTTCAGAAAGATTTTCTTCACTGGGTTTCCTTCTGTTGGTCATTATTATTATGAACTATTTGAAAACAAAAAGCCCTACAAAACTATTTAACTTACTTTTCTGCATCTTTGATTATTTTTTGTAATTTAGGTGAGTACAGTATTTTTTCGAAACATATAATACCACTGTAGTTCAGTTGTTTCAATAAGCCATAATTCTGACTATTATTGGACATTGAACTTTGACATTTATTAAGCAATGTTGAAAAAACGTGTTTAGGTGCCGGTAAATTTATAAAATTCGTTGATTCATCGGAAAGTTTACTGTTATTCAAAATTAAATTTGTCCATTCGTACTGAATATAAACGTCCAATACTAAGTCAGTGAATACAATTCCTGAATCTGTGCTCACATAACGACATAATTCTGTGTCAGCTATACTGATCAAAGGAAGTGCAATGAATAAAGTTGATAGAACAAAACTTGTTATACATGTGCTTATAACTGCACAAAAGATGGTAATACATTTCAAATGGATGTTACTGACTATATAAGGTAAGTAAACAGTTCGATTCAGTCTGAGTATGAATACGTCTCCATTATGACATCTTTGAATCCGAAGAATGAATAGTTTTGAGTCATCCACTACAACAAGATAAATGCAAACATTATTAGTATCACGTGTTAAAAAAGAAGTTGGTTCCATAAAAAATTTCTAATACAAACTGCTTCATTTGTCATCACAAATCTCAATCTCCTTTTAGTTCCGATGACTAGCTTAAGAAAAAAACCTAAATTTTGTCAAAAAACCAGTCAATAGCTTCTAAACCATCACCTCATAGTTCGGCAACTATCATCATCACAAAACGAATATCCTATTTTTCAAATGCCTTTATACTTAGCCTCTATACATAAGTGCATTGTTCTGATGTATTCATTCGAAACTTCTCTTCGATTTTTTCATCTCCGTATGAATGACATAAGTGATGGTAAGTGTAGTCATAGAACTCATTTAGCTATTAGTGATACAGATTTGACTTCTGTTTAAAATAAATTTATGATTTCATGCAGGTGATATAATGAGCTGTAAGGAACATTCAAGCAAATTAAGTTGTTTGAATAATTTCTGATGAACATCGAAGTAAAAACATAAGCAGAGAGAAATATGGCCTTTATATTATGTTGGAACATGAAGTCAAAAAAAAGAAACTCTACGCCTAAATAACATGACTATTTTCAAAACAGTGACACTGAACCACAGATTATAGTTCAAGTGCTTGAAGCCCACTGCACACATTTTTAACTGGGTTTATTGTCGGTGTGATCCTAGACAAATTCTACTAATAGAGTCGAATTCTTAGATCAACTGAATGCGGATGGTTGACTTAGAGAGACTAGTATATCGCATAAACTGGGTGACTGCTCTCCAAATTACTTATAGAACACATGGTTCCCGTTGATACACTTCACAGTTTAGTATTTCACCAAATAACTATTCATCTCTGGCATCATTAGACACTCTTTCCACATTCAGACAATAATGACTTTGAATGCAATATTGACAGAGATGATCTAGAATCTTTGTCCACAGACAACTCTTGAAAGAATAAAATGAAATCAGCACAAAAGCTTACTCAAATGCAAGTAAGTAAACAATAACTCACGTTCCGGATCAATCTGAAACTGAATAAATATCTTTCATATGCATCTACTGTATACAATATACAATATGTGATTAAAAATGTAATCGATGACAGCACAAAAGTAATTAATATGTATCCAATTATAGAAATGATATAACATGTTAAATTGACACTGTTATCAATTTCTTGTTGTTTTTCAGTGGTAAGAAAAGACTTAACTTTATCTACAGTATTATTTTGTAAAGTTTTCCAGATAGAAGTAAACTGTTTATTATATTCCTCCAAACTGAAAGTTGATTTCATCTAAAAAAAAATAATCGTAATAAAAGAAAAGGGAATGCATATTTCTCATTTGAAAAGGATAGTTGAGATATTTATGTGCTATCGGTCTGACTATCTGAGACAGCTGTGGTTTAGATATTTACGCATCATGAATTCACATGACAGTCAGATAAACCCATTAGTGATGAAAATGGAATCAAGATCTATTCAAGAGGTGGATCTCCCAGCTCACCTAGTAAACCACCGGGTCGGCATATCACAGGCTTCTGGTCCGAATTCTGCTACAACCTAGGTTTGCATTTCCCCTCGAATCATCACCCAGGATCAATATTTGTCTGTGTTTGAATCAATAAGTGGTTTGCTATACACATAATCTCAAGTCGTTATGTAATTTCACATAGTGTTTTAGACACAATTGATTGTCCATATTCCTATTAGGCAACAGTACAACCTTGAAACATGATTTATATGGTCCTTATTCCCTCTCCTCATTTTTGATAACGGTGGCAGAATTTTCTACATATCTTAAAGCAGTGCATTTATTTGGTGGTGATTTGACGAATAAAGATTCGATTATCAATCCCTTATTCTAATGAACAAAGTTTTTAATACTAGTATCATCCTATTGCGTGATTGTGTACATTCGTTTTTACAGTCATAACCTAACTTTCCCCTAGATTCCTTATCTTATCAAGAGCTGCTGATCTTGATTTGAGTGATCTTCTGTACAAGAACAGCCGTAGCGACTCCGGTTGACTGCCTTGACCTATATATTTAACCTTATAACCTAAGTTTTACAGTTAACTGATATCAATATAGACAGTAAGTTGTATCTTTAAAAGTATACAGTACTTGGTGCTGTTTCACTGCATGGCACATTTAACAAGCAAACTGATGAGGAGTTCTATTTAAGGACAAGATAGCTGCCCAGTTCTCCTAAGTGTTCATTGGTTTTCCAGCTGATGTCATTCTGTAAAGAATGCTACCTTAAAAAATATATCTCAGCTTTTGGTTTGCTTTTTTGCTGAATAAATTCCACGAGTCAGTAAATTTAGTGGTTTTCATTCACGTATTCATTAAGATAACAACAGATTTCTGCTGGTCGTTGTTCATCTATGACAAAAATAGAAACATAATAACTGTCAACTGGGTCACGAAACAGCAGTTTATATTAAAAATATGCTATCATGCATAGTATCACTCGTAGAGTAGCATTAAAATCACTTCTACAGATTGAATGACCAGTCTTGTGGATAAAATTGTATATACTGAGACAGAGGTGATTGTATCCAGAGCTTATCGACTGCCTGCAGAACTCCGGAATTGATCAAATGATGCTCCAATCCAGCTCCTCATTTCCTTCTTAGTCATTGTCACGTATCTATATTACTAGTCTGCTGAACCACTGCTATCTCAAATAATCGTAATAAAATCAATGAACTGAGGTTGTTAACAAATAACCCATGAGCTTGTTTAGCTCGCATTACTCACCTTCAAGACTACCGATTATTATCGTGTTGAAATTTGCCCGAATTCTTAGCCTACATTAACATAAGAGTACAACTTGTACACTCAAGGCATAATTCCGTGTTATTTCACTTCAACTGGTTTATGGATTTACCACACAGTGGAACAGTATTGTTTACTGGATTACGTTTGAGACATAAAATATACTGTCCACTATCACATGACAACAACTGCACAACTTTAAGACATCCTTTACACAGTGCTAATTTTCTCTCCCCTTTTGTGGTATGCGTACTGGGATTTTCTTTATATCTGGAACAGATGCTGACTCATTCCTGATGCATGTGTTAGAAGGTGGCTGGATAAACAAAGATTCATTTACCAATGTCTGCCTCCACTCTGTTGTTTTAGTTTTGAGGATTTTCACTCTATCCCATCCTATTGTGTGATTGTGTGTAATTGCATGCATAGATTTGGATGAGATTTCTCAATATTCTTTACCTCACCAGGATCTACAAATTGTGATGCAGCTCTGCTAGCCTACTTGACCCTGGTCGACTACTTTGACCTATGTATTTGACTTGGCAATCGTTGCAAGGGATTTAGCAAACTAACTTATTATGCTTAATTAGATCAAGAAGATATTTTAACCGGCAAAGCCTATTTCTAATTGAGTTTGTATATTTAAATGACATTTTAACCACAGCCTTACTAGGAATCCTACTTAGTGTTTCTGAGGTATCTTCTTTATACGGTAATACTGTAGAGAATTTAAGTTGCCTCTTCACAGTATTGTCACTATTATTATCAACATTATTAATCACTACTAATAAAGTAATCCGATTGACAATACTGTTACACTGTGATACATTTAATAAATCAATTAGAACGAAACTTCTCCTATATTGTCAGTTTTTGTTTAACCAACTGAATAGCAGCCCGTTTCAATTCATTCTACGCTTCCAATAATCCTGCATAGCTACCTGATTCATCTTTTTCAATTTCTATTTCAGTAATTGTAAATTTAATGAGTAGAATCTACTTTTAACTTAGTTATTATTTCGCATAATTTACCTCTTCAGTACTAAAATGACTTTCATCAATTATAAGGTAGTATTCACCATAGACTGACACCAGTTGGAGAATCAATGAACTTCTGGGAGCACTGGACGGCTGTTTCGTTCTCAGTAGTAAAAACCCATGACCCGGATAAAAATAGAACTCAAGACCTTCAGGTTTCACGACAAACGCATCAATTGTCCACCCATTGGGTCGGAATTCAATAATCCACAGATTCCTACTTCTGCCAATTCTCGATACAATGCGACTATCACATTGTAGTTATTTTATAGTCTTTACATTATTGTAGAGCTAATAACGAGGATTTACATAAAAACAACCTGTCTTCTATTCAGAATATCAAACTGAAATTTTTAAACTGAAGGCGTCTAGAGAATTTTTCAATGGCCGGTATTACTTTCAGTTTGAGTTTATTTCTGTAAACTATATTAAAGATTCAATCAATAAACCTCACCTGGGATATGCAGTAAAGCTGCAAAGAATTGTTCACAAACCCCAATAAATAATCTCCTAATAGTAGAATCCAGCAAGTGAAGGTTAACAAGTCATTATTCTTGAGATAAACAGTAAAAGTGATTTGGCCTAAGACTTCATTCTTTTTCACAAGTATATCATCGAACTATTTAGTCACAATAAAACCATTTTATGCATTTGGATCCCTTGACATATTTGGACAAAGAGGGCAGAAGAACTAAGCCTGCAGAATATAATATCACGTTGTTTCACTAATATTCAGTAGTAGCATTCAGTCTGAAATGCAATGGTTATCAGGACCAAACTTTATAAACATCTAATTTAGACTATTGTAGGTGACGTATATTTGAAGAATTTATTGAGCAGACAAAACGCATAAGCTGTACTTAAAAATCAATTCCAGCCTATACATTATACAATAGACGGCTCAGGAGTTGTACACAAGTGATAAGAAGTGTTAGAAAAAGAACAATTAACGCTTGTCAGCAGATCACGTTACACGTTAAGTGATAACCTCCATAAGATTAACACTGGCCCAGTGAGTTGATCAAATTATAGTTATCACGGAAGTAAAGGGCTGATCTCTCTCTTCCTATGTATGCTTAGCTAATATCCAACAACAGTTTGAAGTAGGTAGTCGTATAGTTTTGCTTTGACAACCATTATAACTCTGAACTACATCCAGCTGATGAATATTCTTGCTTTTCCTAAAGTCATTTGTTCTTATTTTTGTTGCTAAACTTTGTAAAGCTGTGTGTATTGATTGAGATAGGCTACTTAAACTCGAAGTCTCAGGTACATTTCTCAAATGACCTACTGGGTGTTCATTACAGAATATTACTGATCATATCAAAGTCATTTCTAAGTTGGTTCCTATTAATGATCAATGAATAATAAACTTTTATCGAAATTTGAAGAATTTAAAGTATTGAGCAGATAAAACTCATAAGCTGTACTTAAAAATCAATTCCAGCCTATACATTATACAACAGACGGCTCAGGAGTTGTACACAAGTGATAAGAAGTGTTAGAAAAAGAACAATTAACGCTTGTCAGCAGATCACGTTACACGTTAAGTGATAACCTCCATAAGATTAACACTGGCCCAGTGAGTTGATCAAATTATAGTTATCACGGAAGTAAAGGGCTGATCTCTCTCTTCCTATGTATGCTTAGCTAATATCCAACAACAGTTTGAAGTAGGTAGTCGTATAGTTTTGCTTTGACAACCATTATAACTCTGAACTACATCCAGCTGATGAATATTCTTGCTTTTCCTAAAGTCATTTGTTCTTATTTTTGTTGCTAAACTTTGTAAAGCTGTGTGTATTGATTGAGATAGGCTACTTAAACTCGAAGTCTCAGGTACATTTCTCAAATGACCTACTGGGTGTTCATTACAGAATATTACTGATCATATCAAAGTCATTTCTAAGTTGGTTCCTATTAATGATCAATGAATAATAAACTTTTATCGAAATTTGAAGAATTTAAAGTATTGAGCAGATAAAACTCATAAGCTGTACTTAAAAATCAATTCCAGCCTATACATTATACAACAGACGGCTCAGGAGTTGTACACAAGTGATAAGAAGTGTTAGAAAAAGAACAATTAACGCTTGTCAGCAGATCACGTTACACGTTAAGTGATAACCTCCATAAGATTAACACTGGCCCAGTGAGTTGATCAAATTATAGTTATCACGGAAGTAAAGGGCTGATCTCTCTCTTCCTATGTATGCTTAGCTAATATCCAACAACAGTTTGAAGTAGGTAGTCGTATAGTTTTGCTTTGACAACCATTATAACTCTGAACTACATCCAGCTGATGAATATTCTTGCTTTTCCTAAAGTCATTTGTTCTTATTTTTGTTGCTAAACTTTGTAAAGCTGTGTGTATTGATTGAGATAGGCTACTTAAACTCGAAGTCTCAGGTACATTTCTCAAATGACCTACTGGGTGTTCATTACAGAATATTACTGATCATATCAAAGTCATTTCTAAGTTGGTTCCTATTAATGATCAATGAATAATAAACTTTTATCGAAATTTGAAGAATTTAAAGTATTGAGCAGATAAAACTCATAAGCTGTACTTAAAAATCAATTCCAGCCTATACATTATACAACAGACGGCTCAGGAGTTGTACACAAGTGATAAGAAGTGTTAGAAAAAGAACAATTAACGCTTGTCAGCAGATCACGTTACACGTTAAGTGATAACCTCCATAAGATTAACACTGGCCCAGTGAGTTGATCAAATTATAGTTATCACGGAAGTAAAGGGCTGATCTCTCTCTTCCTATGTATGCTTAGCTAATATCCAACAACAGTTTGAAGTAGGTAGTCGTATAGTTTTGCTTTGACAACCATTATAACTCTGAACTACATCCAGCTGATGAATATTCTTGCTTTTCCTAAAGTCATTTGTTCTTATTTTTGTTGCTAAACTTTGTAAAGCTGTGTGTATTGATTGAGATAGGCTACTTAAACTCGAAGTCTCAGGTACATTTCTCAAATGACCTACTGGGTGTTCATTACAGAATATTACTGATCATATCAAAGTCATTTCTAAGTTGGTTCCTATTAATGATCAATGAATAATAAACTTTTATCGAAATTTGAAGAATTTAAAGTATTGAGCAGATAAAACTCATAAGCTGTACTTAAAAATCAATTCCAGCCTATACATTATACAACAGACGGCTCAGGAGTTGTACACAAGTGATAAGAAGTGTTAGAAAAAGAACAATTAACGCTTGTCAGCAGATCACGTTACACGTTAAGTGATAACCTCCATAAGATTAACACTGGCCCAGTGAGTTGATCAAATTATAGTTATCACGGAAGTAAAGGGCTGATCTCTCTCTTCCTATGTATGCTTAGCTAATATCCAACAACAGTTTGAAGTAGGTAGTCGTATAGTTTTGCTTTGACAACCATTATAACTCTGAACTACATCCAGCTGATGAATATTCTTGCTTTTCCTAAAGTCATTTGTTCTTATTTTTGTTGCTAAACTTTGTAAAGCTGTGTGTATTGATTGAGATAGGCTACTTAAACTCGAAGTCTCAGGTACATTTCTCAAATGACCTACTGGGTGTTCATTACAGAATATTACTGATCATATCAAAGTCATTTCTAAGTTGGTTCCTATTAATGATCAATGAATAATAAACTTTTATCGAAATTTTGTTAGCACAAGGTTTTTGTAGGTTATAACCGTAACAGTACAATTAACTGTAAGGCAGAAGACCTAATGACCGTATCAATGGTTACGTCACATCCCACCGTGTTTACAAGTCTACATGGCAGGGTATGTAACTAATCGCCTTGAAAAATAGATGATATACTTAGGCGGAAGACAACCATCTTCACCTCTAGCCAAACAGCTTTTAAAGTTTTATGTAGAAATAATTGGGGATGAATACCGAGATTTGCTGGAGCGATAGCTATATACAAATTTGAACCACCTTTTTGTGTACAAAAACAATTTGTTCTTAAACTACACCTAACTTGATAAGCCAGTCTTCTTTACAAGACTGAGATGGACTATATCACTCTTCCTTTTTGTTCTCATCTTTAATTTTATTTTCCTGTTATCTTGATTATTTTGTGTCCTCTGATTCTCCACTTCTACTTAAATTGATGTGACAGATAAATGTGTAACCAAATTGCTAGAAATGTATCTCAAGAATGCATCGAATTTTTCAAATAAATTTCGTCTTATGATTATGCTATCTTTATTGTAACTGCTTAGTAATATATGGGATCTAAAAAGGAAGTCTATACTTCAAATTTGAAACAAATACGTTCAAACTGTTTAATAACTTAGTCTGATAGGAAATCATCATAAGAAATTTATTGTGGAATCATTAATTTCTGAAAGATCATTTCTAGAATTGTTTTGTTAAACCGATGGAATTATATATCAGGAGAATCAATTTTTGCGGTTCCCGTTAAAAGCCTTAAACTACTATGGAATCTCTTTATTATCCTAAATTGGAAGTACGAGAGTATCTTAAAATAAGGTGTTATAGTTGAGTTTATAAATAAAACGATTTAATGGTTAGAATTTTTACGTCACAATAAAGCACCAAAGGGATTGATTAGATCCATTATCCTACCTGAAAAATTAAACTTACCTTTTGTATCACTTCACTCTTCTTTTCATTTAAACGACTTTTTGCAATACTCAATTGATCTGTGATTGTATTCAAATTGATATTTAAATCTCGCATTAAAAATACTATAATTCCACTTGATTCCAACTCAAAACGTTGAGTATTAACATCCAAAAGTAAAACTGAGCTTTGTATCTAAAAGGTAGTCACAAAGTTTAAGCAATTCGACTTACATAACATACTATGAATTGTCAGTTAAAATGTAGTCAAAGTGTTGGGTTTGATCAATAATATGACATTATCAATTTGAATAGGTCTGAAGTGATGATTGAAGGTGAAAGTGAAATTTGAGTCATGGTAGAACATGTTTAAACCTGCTCCAAGTAACCAGTCTCCCAAACTACGGCCATCACAGATGGTCGCAATAATAATCATTTCGATGCTCTTCTTCTCTAAATCACCTTGATTGGTATTCAGATGAGAATTTGACTCTGAGAAGATAGTGTGAACATGATGAACTAACAGTTAAACACCAAGCTTTCATATAAAAAACCTAGTAAAATCTTTAGTGATTGATAGGTCAATAGCCGTGTTTTGTAGTTCAGATGGCAGAGCACCGGGTAGTTAATCCGGAAGCAGATTGTTTGAATCCCACCATGACCCAAGTCTTGCTTTCACCTTCAACCACTGCCCCTTATCAGTAATGCCAGTCAGTCAAATGACAGCTATCTTCAATAGTCTTATTAGCAATTAAAAAGGTGGGAAGAAATCTGAGAATTAACTCATGAACCAGGTTAATCACATACATTTTGACAGTCAACTGTTTCCTTGAGTTCTTTTCTGCTATCTTCACACTATATTCAGAAACGGTTAAATTGATGAGTTGAATAATTGTATCTGATATTTGGGATTTGGTTCACCGGTTAATAAAAATTACCATTGAACCTAACGTTGTTAATTAACTGTCGAAATTGTGATATCGCATGTCAGTAAAGCAAGACTAAAGGAGTAAAGATGAAAGATAGAGAAATCAGGGAATAGAGTAATCACAAATAGTAAAAAGGTTAAAAAAAGAGGAAGGCACGAAACAATAGCAAAATTAAGTATGACGATTATATTAATTTGTTTTCCCTTGGGTTCTTAGTGGAACATAGGTTTTCAGTAGCAAGCCTCCATTGCACTCCGTTCTCTGCAGTCTTCAAAATCTGACACCAAGACTGCCAACAACCTTTCATTTCTTCCTCATGTGATCTCCTCCATGTCACCTTCTCCACAGATGCCCAACTTGTCGTCTTTCCTATGGATTCCATTCGACGACCCGGTCTGGTGAGTGATGTTCACAGTCGGCCTTCTCAGAGTATGCCCAATCCATCTCCACTTCCTTTCACACATATTTGTTGGGTGATAGGTTCTTGGTTGGTTTGTTGCTAAGCCAAAGTTCCTTGTTGTTTTTTCTTATCATTCTGGCCATCTCATCTTCAGTATCGAGTGAGCGTATTTGGCAGTTGTTGACGAATGTATGTACTTTGTTGAAAATGTCTTTCGTAAAGCGACAAGTCTCTCAACCATATAGAAACACTGACTTGACCGAGATTAGTGTTGATAATCCGGATCTCGTTCACGCATTATGATGAGTGCAGTGGATCTCCACACTGATTTCAGATTCATGAAGGCCTGTCTTGTTGTCTTTCCGATCCTGGTTTTGACATCCCAGTCCGTGCCGCCTGTAGTTGTAACGATGCTGACTGGTGAAGCAAGTGAAAGAGACTACTTCCTTTAGGTTTCTCCCGTTCGTCGTGACTGGTGCTTGTTGTTGATGCTGTTGTCGTTGGTTGGTTATCTACATCACCTCCATCTTCTATACATTCACTTGAAGTCCCATCTACTCTACCTGGTCTCTCCTGTCAACTTGTTGGTTTTTTCCTGTAGATCTTCGAGCTTTTGCCACAAGACATTAGATATAAGTCTTCATCAGCGAAATCCAAATCTTCTTCTGGGCCTTTTCATCGCTGAAGTCAGCGTGTGACCCTCTTCTCACTCTTCACTGTTTGATGTATGGTTCAGTTCAGTCGACCACAATCAGAAAGATAATGCGTGATAGAAGGCAGCCTCGTCTTACTCCTCTCTTCACTTCAAAGACAACACTGAGCTGTCCATTGTGGGTCACTTGGCATGTAGCATCACACAGCATATACCTGTTCGACAAGGTTGAAAAAGAGTTGAAGCAATTGATAAATTACTTCGCTGACCACGCTGTCCAAGCCTCTACGAAATAGATGAAGTTAAGGTAGAGTTGAGTTGACTGCCATTCTATACTCTGTTCTATGATGATGCGAAGCGTTGAAATTTGATCCGCACATGATTTGTACTTCCTGAAGCCAGCCAGCATATTCCGACCGTAGGTTTGAATCTAGCGCATCCTTTAGACACTCTCCAAGATGACGCACCTTAATATTTTGCTTTGGATGGACAGGGGTAGAGCATGACTCCTCTCCAGTTCCTGCAAACACTGAGGTCTCACTTCTTCAGGATTTTTACAAGATAGCGCTTCTTCCAATCAATCTGTAAGCACCTTCTCTTCCTACCACACCTTCTGCAATAGTGGTATGAGCATGGCCGCTGTTGTCTCTGCGCCAGTCTTCAGTGCTTCTGGTGGGATTCCATCTGCTCCTGCTGCTTTCCCACATTTCAGCAGCTTCATGGCGTTCAGGACTTTCATTTTTCTTGGAGGATTTATGTTCACCTGCAGTTCTGTGGCTCGGTTGCCATTGGTATTTCTGGACAAAGTGCAGGTGGTGGTTGATTCAAGAGCTTCTGGAAGTGGTCGGCCCTTTGTTTCCTTTGTTTCTCCTCTTTAGTAAAAAGATTCCCTTCACTATCTTTCGTCGGTTTCGTCTGCGTTGATCTCTTCCCAAATAACAACCTGGTTATTTGATACAATGTTGTCAGGTCTTCTTCTCTCCTACCAGCAGCCTGTTCTGCTTCACTTGCCAATGTGTCATAGAAGTGTCTTTTGTCTTTGCGTGCACTCTTCTTCACTTCTTTGTCCAGTGTTTTAATGGTTGTAATCAGTTCCTCTTGTTGTTGTGCATTTTTGCACTGCACTGGTTTGTCTTCTGTTTCACCGTCCTCCTCTCCTCTTTCAGCTTCCATATGTCCATCGAGATCCATTCCTTATCTTCTTTCCTCTTCCTTCCTAATAAGGTTATACAAGTTTCTTTCCACATCTCTTTCAGAGAGTTCCAGTGTTCTTCAATGCACGTTTCATCGGCGATGTTACTCAATGTCTCCCATTTCGTTCTAATGTCTGACGTGAAGATGTCCTTTATAGTTTTGTTCTTCAGTTTCTGGGTGTTGAACTTGAACTATGGTCTATCACCAACTTCCCTGAAGGCTTTCAACTTGATTTGGAAGGTTCCTTGCACTAGACAGTGGTATGAACCTACATCTGCTCCTCTTCTTGACCTTGTGTCAAGTAGACTGCGTCTCCATTTTCTTGAGATTGAGATAAAGTCAATCTGATTTTTAGTGCGTCCATCTGGTGGAATCAACTCCATGTCGCTTTGTGGATACCCTTGTGCTTGAACACACTGCCTCCAATCATCAAATAGTTGAATGCACAGAATTCTGCAAACGATTCTTCATTCTCGTTCATCACCTCACCGAGCGCTTCGCGACCCATGGTTAGTTCTCTTCTTGTGTTGTCCGCTCCGAGTTTGGCATTCATGTCGCCCATTAGAATTTTGATGGCGCCAACTGGAGTCTTGTCTATTACTGATTGCAGTTGTCGATAGAATTCCTCCTTCTTATCTTCATCTACATTATTTGTAGGTGCGTAACATTGCACGATTATGACTTTCCTTCCTTTTGAGTTGAACCTCGCTGTCATGATCCTGCAGGAGGAGATTGGTTCTTACTGTATGAGAGCCTTCGATGCTCTTGGGGACATCATGATAGCCACTCTATAACTCAGTGTACTCGTGGTTGTCTTGTGGGTGACAGTATCGGAGTAGATTATTGATTCTCCAGTTGACAGCTTGGAGAGTCCACTCCCATTCCATCTGCTTTCGCAAATTCCAAGCACTTCGATGTGATACCTTCTCATCTCGTTTGCAATCTGGGCTGCCTTGCTGGCTTCAAACATGGTGCGGGCATTCCATTTCCCCACGTTTACTTTTGCTTTCATCGAGAGGGGAAAAGACACATCATCCAATTGGCTTCCCGAAGGCTTCCACCAACTGGCGTCCTTTCGCCTCTCCGATTCCAGCGAGGAATGAGTTTGCTTTTATTTTTTATATTTCGTTTGTGCTTTGAAGTTTCTTTAGCGGTTAGATTTGTTTTATGTGGTAGGGTTGCTAGCCGTATGCCGAACCTTCCCTCTTTACCTGGGCTTAGGACCGGCTAGTGACCATTAAACTAGTTAACCGGGTGAGGTTAGGTATGACGATTGAGATGATGGTAATATTTGGATACATTTGGATTCTGCAGTTAGCCACCACTAGGCAAGCAACCAACTACCAGTTACATGTTTATAATTGGCTTTGTGTTGCGAATAATGGAAATCCACGACACAATTTCACATCGCCTCCAATTCCTGATATTCACTTTCATGATTCTAGAATGCTTCCCACTGTAAAGCATACATTTGAGTATCTCCTACCAATACTTGTTCTGTGAATTTCTTAAGTCATTCAACAGCATTTTATTTTAAGTGACGGTAGAAGAGAAAATGGATTTCGGTTTATGATGAATCCTGAAATTTTAATAAAATTAACACATTCTAATTGTCGACTTTTCGATTCATGTTTATGTGTAAAAAGATGTTTTATTAGCACATTATATAGAAGATGTTAGTTGTATATTGAGGACAAAGGTGACCTGATTTTGATCAATCTGTACCAGGAATTTTTTTCCGAATCACACTGCTCACGGAATTACTCACAACTTCTATCGTTTTTGCAATAACACTTATAAATCATACCATCAAGTTCAATATATTCTGAAGTCTGATGAAATTTATAGGAGAACAAAGAAATGTTTTGTTTACAAAATAGGATTAAATAGTTTTTCTTCGAAACGGTTTAATTCCTCTATTGAAAGATTATATACAAAGTTTTAATAGTTTGTTGGTAAGGCAGGTAAGAACTTGAAACTCAAGTTTATTAATTCACCGAAAATTAACTGAATATGTTTATATGTTATCAGTTGGCAAAGTTAATACAGTGAATGCTGATAACAAGCTGCTTACTTCTGATTACCTTGTGTTAGTGTCATCAGCGCTACTTATAAGGATGCCTTTAAGTAGTATATATAGCAACATAGAAAGGATAGAAGAATGATTCATGAGGATTCGTGTTAAAAGGAAACCGATAGAAAATGGAAACCATATTTCAAATTTTAGTATTTTTGTCATTAACAGTTGTATTTACTCAATAAACAGCATCTACCGCTCCACTAAACATCTCTTCAACAATACTGATAGGAAAAGTGAAATACACTCGATGTTTCAATTCTACTTGGATTTGTCGCAGACTTTTCTGATCCCAAACGTTCATTCAATGCAACTTGCCTACTGCAATATTATGTCATTAATGGGAAGACCTTAGACTAGAAAGAAATCTCAGTGGATGAGACGTTATTAACACTGAACTATACTTACTCGCCTGGTTAACTAGTTTAATGGTCACTAGCCGGTCCTAAGCCCAGGTAAAGAGGGAAGGTTCGGCATACGGCTAGCAACCCTACCACATAAAACAAATCTAACCGCTAAAGAAACTTCAAAGCACAAACGATATATAAAAAATAAAAGCAAACTCATTCCTCGCTGGAATCGGAGAGGCGAAAGGACGCCAGTTGGTGGAAGCCTTCGGGAGGCCAATTGGCTGATGTGTCTTTTCCCCTCTCGATGAAAGCAAAAGTAAACGTGGGGAAATGGAATGCCCGCACCATGTTTGAAGCCAGCAAGGCAGCCCAGATTGCGGACGAGATGAAGAGGTATCACATCGAAGTGCTTGGAATTTGCGAAAGCAGATGGAATGGAAGTGGACTCTCCAAGCTGTCAACTGGAGAATCAATAATCTACTCCGATACTGTCACCCACAAGACAACCACGAGTACACTGAGTTATAGAGTGGCTATCATGACGTCCCCAAGAGCATCGAAGGCTCTCATACAGTAAGAACCAATCTCCTCCTGCAGGATCATGACAGCGAGGTTCAACTCAAAAGGAAGGAAAGTCATAATCGTGCAATGTTACGCACCTACAAATAATGTAGATGAAGATAAGAAGGAGGAATTCTATCGACAACTGCAATCAGTAATAGACAAGACTCCAGTTGGCGCCATCAAAATTCTAATGGGCGACATGAATGCCAAACTCGGAGCGGACAACACAAGAAGAGAACTAACCATGGGTCGCGAAGCGCTCGGTGAGGTGATGAACGAGAATGAAGAATTGTTTGCAGAATTCTGTGCATTCAACTATTTGATGATTGGAGGCAGTGTGTTCAAGCACAAGGGTATCCACAAAGCGACATGGAGTTGATTCCACCAGATGGACGCACTAAAAATCAGATTGACTTTATCTCAATCTCAAGAAAATGGAGACGCAGTCTACTTGACACAAGGTCAAGAAGAGGAGCAGATGTAGGTTCATACCACTGTCTAGTGCAAGGAACCTTCCAAATCAAGTTGAAAGCCTTCAGGGAAGTTGGTGATAGACCATAGTTCAAGTTCAACACCCAGAAACTGAAGAACAAAACTATAAAGGACATCTTCACGTCAGACATTAGAACGAAATGGGAGACATTGAGTAACATCGCCGATGAAACGTGCATTGAAGAACACTGAAACTCTCTGAAAGAGATGTGGAAAGAAACTTGTATAACCTTATTAGGAAGGAAGAGGAAAGAAGATAAGGAATGGATCTCGATGGACATATGGAAGCTGAAAGAGGAGAGGAGGATGGTGAAACAGAAGACAAACCAGTGCAGTGCAAAAATGCACAACAACAAGAGGAACTGATTACAACCATTAAAACACTGGACAAAGAAGTGAAGAAGAGTGCACGCAAAGACAAAAGACACTTCTATGACACATTGGCAAGTGAAGCAGAACAGGCTGCTGGTAGGAGAGAAGAAGACCTGACAACATTGTATCAAATAACCAGGTTGTTATTTGGGAAGAGATCAACGCAGACGAAACCGACGAAAGATAGTGAAGGGAATCTTTTTACTAAAGAGGAGAAACAAAGGAAACAAAGGGCCGACCACTTCAAGAAGCTCTTGAATCAACCACCACCTGCACTTTGTCCAGAAATACAATGGCAACCGAGCCACAGAACTGCAGGTGAACATAAATCCTCCAAGAAAAATGAAAGTCCTGAACGCCATGAAGCTGCTGAAATGTGGGAAAGCAGCAGGAGCAGATGGAATCCCACCAGAAGCACTGAAGACTGGCGCAGAGACAACAGCGGCCATGCTCATACCACTATTGCAGAAGGTGTGGTAGGAAGAGAAGGTGCTTACAGATTGATTGGAAGAAGCGCTATCTTGTAAAAATCCTGAAGAAGTGAGACCTCAGTGTTTGCAGGAACTGGAGAGGAGTCATGCTCTACCCCTGTCCATCCAAAGCAAAATATTAAGGTGCGTCATCTTGGAGAGTGTCTAAAGGATGCGCTAGATTCAAACCTACGGTCGGAATATGCTGGCTGGCTTCAGGAAGTACAAATCATGTGCGGATCAAATTTCAACGCTTCGCATCATCATAGAACAGAGTATAGAATGGTAGTCAACTCAACTCTACATCAACTTCATCGACTTTGAAAATGCCTTTGACAGGGTACGTTGACATGTAATTTGGCAGGCAGTTGCTTCAACACTGCGAAATATCGCAAACCTTTATGAGGCTCATTTAAGAACTCTATGAATATGCCACATGCCAAGTGACCCACAGTGGACAGCTGAGTGATGCTTTTGAAGTGAAGACAGGAGTGAAACATGGCTGTCTTCTATCCCCCATAATATTCCTGATAGTGGTCGACTGGACTGGATCATGCAGCAAACAGTGGGGAGCGAGAAGAGGGGGATACGCTGGACTGCAGAAAAGAACCTAGAAGATCTTGATTTCGCCGATGACTTGTGTCTGATGTCACACAAACTTGAAGATCTACAGACGTAAACGAACAAGTTGGTAGCAGAGGCAGTGCAGCGAAGACGGGACTTCAAGTGAATGTACAGAAGACAGAGTTGATGAAGATACCCAAACAACAACAGCAACAACAATAAGCTTCAATCACCATGAAGGGGAGAAACTTAAAGGAAGTAACCTCCTTCACCTATCTAGGAAGCACTGTTTCAACTACAGGAGGGCACAGGCACAGATGAGGATGTCAAAGCCAGTCAGGATCGGAAAAGCAAGACAGGCGTTAATCAACCTGAAACCTGTGTGGAGATCTTCTGCATTGCACTCAGCGTATGGAACAAGATCCGGATTTTCAACACCAGTGTAAATCAAGTCAGTGCTTCTGTATGATTCAGAGACTTGGCGCATTACGAAAGGCATTTCCAACAAACTACAGACATTCATCAACAACTACCACCTACGCCCACTCATTACTGAAGATCAGATGGCCAGAATAATTAGAATAAGCAGCAAGGAGCTCTGGGAACGAACCAACCAAGAACCCATCACCCAACAAATATGCGGTGGAAGGAAGTGGAGATGGATTGGGCATACACTGAGAAGACCGAATGGGGAAATCACGCGTCAGGCCAGTTACTCGAGTGGAAGCCAGTTGGGAAACGACGAGTTGGGTGTCCCAGCTGAGGGTGACATAGAGGAGATCGTGCGAGGAGGAGATGAGCGCTTGCGGGCTGTCGTAGAGCCAGGTTCAAAAGATTTCAGAGAACAGAGTTCACTTTAGACGTGCTACTGAATCCCTATGTTCCATCAGGAACCCAAGGGACTAATACTAATAATAACAATATACTTATTAATAAATTTCGCAAAAAGGCAAGTATCACATGGAAATTGAACTGAAAAATGTTTATTTGGGTAAACAGTAATCAAACTAAAAAAAAGCTTAACACTTGTATCAAACTATCACTATGTTAGTTTCGTACTTAACCGACTAAATTGAATATTATAATCAACAGACTAAGGTTTGGTCGTATGAAAATTTTTATTTCACTATCTGTTTTATGTACAATGTACTTCATTTCCTCAGTAAATAACTTTTAGCTGAACTCTTCCTATGATGTGTTCACTAAGCAACCGAATACACTGGAATTTTATCATTAAACAAAGGAAACTGCAATTCTCGTCATTTATTCATACTTTTTATTTCTTTCTCTTATACTGAATCGAATTAATTAACCTCTGTAAGTATTTGGAGCGATGGGTGTTGGGTCCAAGTTTCAGAAGGGATGCCATCACTTAGTGACAAAAAGTCCCCGGAATGGTGGAACGTGAGTTCTGCAGTTCCATTGTTAACCCTCCCCCCCCCACCACTTGGCAACTAACTACCTTCACCACTTGAAATTATTGTACAAACTTATGACAACGGAATTTATAAACATATAGAAGAAACTTGTCAGCTTACCTGTAATTCTTTACATTTCACACTTTCTGTAGTATTTTGTTGTATTTGTTCACAAACAAAATTCAAAGATTTATTTAATATGTTTGAATAGCCTTTCAGTTCACCAATATAACTATTAAATTCTTGTTGAAGTACTATTTGCTGTGAATTAATTATCTGACTAGCTAAGGCTGTTTCATTTAAACTTTGAGCAATTGAATCCGCTGTAACTATCACAGGTAACAGGTTATATGATTTCAAAAGAGATTCAGTTATATTGTCAGCAGTAATTAATAGCTGTTTCTAGGACAAAAACAATAAAATGAACTAATATACAAAGTAATTATCACATTATAAATACTTGCTTTTCTAGTTATCGATACAAGGATTATTTCAATAATTTGAATTTTTGAACCTAATTTGTTGTCTTTTACTTAGTAACTAATCCATTCATTCAAATGTTACATGACTTTTAGTGTGAGACAGTTTATGACGCTTTTTTTTCCCGTATCACACCTGTGATGAAGGATACTTTTAAACCTTTCACCCCACGCTAAACCAAATATCGAATTACTGGTCAATCCTGGTTGGTAACGCGTTTTACAATGGATTTCTTCAAGTTCTGAGGAGAAGTCTTAACTTTTGAGATCATAAAAGTCAGGAGTTCGGTGGATATCAACAATTGACACTGGATGATGGGTGTATTATGTTGTAAACTGACAGGATTTGCAAATATTGGAGTATTGGATTTCGATCCAGAGACTGGATGAATAAATACTCGCAACCAAACCTGATCGTCCTGTGCTTGGTCATGGTTGCAACTTCGTTTCAATTCATTTCCAATGAATAGACAAATAGACACAAGGATACTTGACTCAAGTGGAAATCTAACCATCTGTATGTCACTTTCACCGCTCTTCTCTGTTTATCCGAGGAAGAAGTGATTAGCTTGGGGAGCAGAATTGTCCAAATCAAATGAATCTGGTTGGTTGTTTCGATCATTCAAATATGATTAGTGAAATCTACAAAACAAAGTGAGTGGTTTCTAGCTTCTCATCGTATTCAGTAATGAATCACAAAGTAATGAAAAATATCGAGACAATCACTCATTCTTGCATATATTTCTGTACACGGGTACGAATTTGTGTCTGCATGTTCTGTTTACTCAGAGACAAATTATCTTTATCTGGTGACTAGTTAGTTTCAAAAAAGCGGGGGAATCATGGAAATATAGCAAAGGAATAAGAAAACAAATGTGAAGAGTTAGTATAAGTTGACAGTTTTTACTAATATTAACATTATTAAACAAGGTTATTCAGTAACTAATTTGTGGAAATAAATCAATGAAACGATGAGGACAAAGTAAGAGAATACGATGAAGGTACTGACCCTATCTTTGCTCAGGGTACAGAAATGGGATGGGCATTACCTTTGAATGCAGACTGAATTATCTCATATTGATTCCTGAAGCTTCCGCTTTAGCAAGAAACGAAGATATGCCCATTCTGGTAGTTTGCTTAGAACAACAAATATCTCAGAAAAGACGTTATCTAACTTGATGTGATGTTCACTATCTACTAAATGCGAAAGAAATGCATTCTTTGTGGATTCTATTGTTCTATTCTGTAACCAAGATGGTATGTATTCACGAAAATACATCCATAGAGCCTCGTAAGTACAGCCTACGTTACTAGCTCTAAAGTCGCAGCTGAGTTCAGGAATATAGACTGAAGTAGCCACTGTTGGAAAATTATCCTTGGTTCGCCGTCTCAATAGTGGTTTGCTTGAGAAGTCTGTGAAACGCTCTGCTGTAATAATGTTCTTTAGACAGATCTATTTAGTCGGTGTGTTATATTATTTCAGACAATGCCAACTTCGAAATTTTTCCTAAGATACAACTGTTTCTAGGCAACACTATCCTTCTTTAACTTTCTCTAGGTCTCAACACGTATTTATTCAAAGTTCTCTGGATAATTATTTTGCGATGATGTCATCATCAGCTTGTCCATTTCTTTTTCCTTACTGCTGAATTTCACGTGTTTCACCTATGTATAACTGCAAAGGTTGGAAAGAAGTTATTTTAAATGACCGTTCGCATAAAATTATAAAGTGTGATGATTTCAAGAAGCAACCAGCGTGAGTGTAATGATAGTTACGGATGTTAGGTGTTATGCTGGAAGAACTGTTCGATATGAAAGCATACTGTTGAATGGGGTCGATAAATCTACAACCAGTCTGTTACACTATATGAACGCTTCTGTGAACACATTCAACTTGTTAACCAAACATCCACAGCTAACAGAGAACAGTTAAGTTTTAAATCAATGTATCTACGTCAAATTAGTAGTGGATTGAGTAATGCAATAAGTCTTGTACACCTTAACAATGTGCCTACGTAAACATTTCATGCTGTTGGTAACTACTCCTTCTGTAATAATTGTCTTGGTGACTAGCAGTGGAACCCAGGATGCGAGTTTGGTGTTATCTAGACTCACCAGCCGCATATACCTGGTCTCGAACCTAGTACCCACCAAGTCCCAGTGGGATGACCATCACTCAGTAGGGTGCAGATATATCTAGCTGACAAGTCTCAGGCATGATGAAACAGTATCCTGAATTCCTTCGCCAGTCATTAGGATTAGTGTGACTCGGCAGTATAAACGCCACCGCATGAGAGGCAATCTCCTAACAGGCGCTGAGCATTTCGGCCCTCTTATATATTCCGAACGGATATAATACGCACCCGTAACTAACGAGATCAGCTTATTTTTCTGTTATCTGAACTTGACTGGCGGTAAAATTCATCCTTATGCCCCACCATATCAAAGTAGCGACACTTATGTTGTTCGAAGGGGAACGGTTTTACATAATGCCAAACTCCACAATGCCAGTATGCGCCTGGTGGTTTTTGTTGGGTACTGTTCGTAGGACGGCGTTTGCACTACCTGATGTGGATCTGGGTATGGATACTGGGTGTTTTATAGCACACACTTCTGTCGCGTTCTGGCCGCTAGTCTGTATAAGTGTGGTATCTTGGCGCGCATTGGTTAATCACTGATATTTCTCACCAATATCATTCAATGTCAGCTTTAGGTCTTGTTCCAGACTATTCAGCAGGCAGGTGCGTATATCTGCAAATTTCGGGGACTGAAGGGCACAAATAAATATGAGTATTTTGAATTGTTAGTCCGTTAGTGACTTCAATTTGAATAAATCACATGCTGTATTCACAATCCCAAGCTTGGTATCGATGTCATCAGCTTCACTGAGTACCAGCTTTATGCAGTGGTAGCAGGAACTGAAGAGTGATGATGTTCTCCAAACTGCTATCGTAATGTTTCTACTGTTTCATCAAATGTTCTGTCACATGGGTTCTGTGGAAGGATAAAATTACTATATTTATCCGATTTATCTGGACAAGCTTTCGGAGTAGAAGTGTAACTTTCCATGGGTCGCCTTGATTTGCAAAAGTACTTCTGAAGGGGTCTTTGTATCGTTGAAACCACGTATCAAAAGTTATGTTGACACCCAGTTTGTATACAAACTGCAAAATACTGGAACCAATTTTATCATCCAAAAAAGATGGAGTGGGTGTAGACGGAATGACGTGCAGACCAGCAAGTAGTTCCGTCATCCTCATTTACTGCTGCATCAGTTTTTCTGGTCGCTGTACATCCCTTTTTAACACCTTCGCCAACTGTTATATCCTCCAAACGGATATAATTCGCACACTTAACTGGCAGCTAACTTTGTATACAAGAGTCACCGAATGCAACCCGGGAAGCATAGAGAAGAAGACTGAAGCTGGATGAGAGAGTTTATTCCTACGAGAATACTAATCAATCAATTAATTCAAAAATACGTGAGTATGTATACACATGACCTTGTCCACAAATCGAGACATTAACTTAATAGTAGTAAGGATTGACCAGTCAGCGAATTACATCACAAGTGGAGGCAGAAAAAAGTACTAGTTATGCTATAAAATTTTGTGAGAATGACAGGTTGGAAATGTTCGGATCAACAACAATGTTTTATGCAAGACTGGGGCCTTCATGCAGGCTCTGCATACCAACGGGGAAGAGCAAGTAACATACTACGTGGAGCAGGATTCAAACTTCTAGCCTATGACTGAAAGGCAAATGCTTAGACCAATAAACTACTGCAGTTAGTTCTAATTACAAATTTCTAAAGACTGATAATGACCATGCTTAGAACTCATTACCACCTTTCTACGATTCTTTTTAATGTATTTTGAAATGAATGGGGATTTCAGTTTTGAGGTAGTATTCATCACGGACTGATTTCAGCTGAAGAACTATTGAAAATCTGGGAGCACTGGACAGTTATTTATGTCTAGTATAGGATTCCCCAGTAGTAAGCACCCACAACAGCACCAGGGCTGGAATCCAGGACCCCCCCCTTTCAACATTTTTTGGCTACCTACTGTTGAGTATTTGTTCTTACATCCGACTTGGTTTGTCTCATAGGCCACAACTAATTAGAACTTCAGGAAATCTCATCTGGAAGAGCTTCATTAATGAGTATCGGACAGTAATTCAATTATGGACGTTTGTGGAGATTTATTGGTTCAAAGTACTCAACACGGATTTACTTCATCGGTTTTCACCCTTCAATTCAGCAATAAAATTGTATCAAATAAACTGAACGACTGTTACATGTTGAAAGTCAGTTGACATAAAGGTGTGTTTCAGTTAGGATTCCTGCTTGCTGACACTCATGAATAGGCATTTTTACAACTATGGTGAAATTAGCTTACTTTCAGTGGCTTGAACCTGCGTCACTCACTACTGAAGTCAAGGACTTTACCACTAAGGTATTCAGATCATAACTGACTGGATTATGTAAGCTAACTTATGACTAGTGCTTTATCCGTTACCCATCATCAATCCATGTATATTCCTTGATTGTTCAGCAGTTATAAATTACTTCCATCTTTGAGTAGATCCACCACAACAGATCCTTGGATATCTTTGATCTCTCTATGTTTTAAGGACAGATGCAAAACCGCACTGAGCGTCAACCTAATCGTAGGAATTTATGCTACTGAAGTGGATGTAAGTAATTTTGACTTGAATCTTTAAGACATTAGATCTCTTGAAATTGAAGTTAACCAAAATTGTATGCTCGTTTATAACCCTACATCGTTGACTGGACAGAACTGATTGGCCTGTAGTGGTATATAAGCTCCTATATGGATGCTTAGAAATTGGCAGTCATTTCAGCTTCATATCATAGAAGCATCCACACTAAAGCTTATTGTGACAGCAGTGACCGCTCTATTAGATCCAATTATCAGCGTGGAATTACTAGCGTAGTCATCAAAGCTATACCCTTTCCCCAAGGAGTACTCATCCCAAGTTACTTGCCTAGAAGACAAAATTCTGTCGTTTGAACCAATAGGCGCTGCGCTGGGGTTTTAGTAGGATAAAACTTACCCGCTGCAAAGCAAGTACAACAAGCCAGCAATTACGAACTAGGAAGGAATGTAGATCTTTGATTCAACTGTTACCCACTGTTCATCATTACTACCAGACTAAAATTAACTTCTGAAAACGACAGACATCCTAACCTTCCTTAAATTTTGGGTTATATCAGCCCATGATAATATTTTTGGAAAGAACTTTACCGTATTACTTGGCATATCCATAAGTTTCACCAATAATAATGTCTTTCTCCTTTTAGACTAAAGGAGTCTAACATCACTCAAAGTGAATCACAATGCTGAATGTTCAAGCTTATTTACCGCAATGCAAAATAATCGATAAAATTCGATCAGCACTGAGAACCAGATAAAAATGAGTTGTCTACTCTTCAGTGACTAGTCACTGTATCTATCTCAGCCTTACTAGAGGTCACTTGCGGCCTAAACAGCTCAATGGTGTTTTCGCTGGCTGTAGCAGAGTGTGAGCTGGGCTGCTTACTGTATGGCGATGTCAGTTTCTTGTAAATCTCAGGTACACCTTACTGAAGAGTGCCAGCAAGCACAAAAGGGAAGCAGAGATGTCTGCGAATCACTCCCAACTATCTGCAAAATTAAAATTGTAAGTGATAATAATGACACTGGAAGTGTGTCAAATTAACCTGAACTTAGTGGATTTCGTTCATATTATACAGTGGCTTACTTCAATCTCTTTCTCAACAACCCGAAATGTTTTTTCAGTTTCTTCTTGACCTTGTGTGATAATTTCTTGTAAATATATTGGTAGTTTATAGAATAATTCATGCAATAATGCGTTTTTAAAAGTTTTGTGTAACATATCTGTTGAATTTTCAGTTGTTTCCGGAGTGAAATTTATAAATGTCGCCTCCATTGCATAGAAACAGATTACACATAAGAAAATGAGTGTACAAATTAAGGTGTAAATTATAAATTTTACAGTAATATACATTTTCTTTCGTGCATTGTACTGAGATGGACTGATTATAGGTAAAACGATTTGATTTCTAGGAACTTGATTTGCCCCACTGAAGTTGCTTATAGTCATGGTTGAGGAATCCATAGAATCCTTTGGTGGTTGATCAAACTGCTTAAGTTTGTCAGCTGCTTCCTGTATTGAAGAAAAAGATTGAAGAAAGCAATATTTACTTTCAGTGGACGATAACATCTTCAAGTTTTCCTTTCATGAAATTGAATAATGTATGCATTGAGAAAGTGGTTTCTGTAGGATAGACTAGCTAATTTTCAGCAGTTTCACGACAGCGTTACACAGTCTGATTTAGTAAGCAAGTATGCATGCATCATGGATCAAGCTGATGGAAAACTGCTCCATCCTTTGGATATTAAAAAATTATGAAATTGTATTACTTCAAAGCACTCGTTTATTTTGTTGCCCGTTACTATAATTTGCGTGGGAACTAGACACCTTGTGTGAAATTTATCTCCTAAAAACCAGGTGTACACGAGTATCCGCTAGAGAGGAAGTGAGTAAAAAAAGCATGTTCAGCGTAAGCTGCTCCGTAATTTATCTTTAAAATGCAATTGTCTGGCATCCACAGTTGTCTAAATCAATTTGGGACCCTGAACTACCTAAAGATAACTCAACCCAGCAGGTTTTTCACTTTTCTGGGTAAGTCCATGCCAAGAAATACAATTTTATTATTCCTTTTACTTCTAGCTGCAGTTTCGTATTGTTATACCAGATAGAACCGCTCTGCATTCGTTAGCGGATGAGCTCCTATGAAGATGCCTCCGTAATCACTGAATATTCCTCATATAATAATTTACTTCGTAGCTGGTGGAGAAACCCAGACGCTGTTGAGTTTGAAGTGATGCGTACAATATTTGATTTTCGGTGGGAACACCATCACTCACATAGCTGCAAATATATCCGGCTGATGAGTCTCAAGTAGGACAAAATGCGTGTCCTGGATTCCACTGCTAGAAACCAAGTATATTACAGTGCAATTTTCTTATTTCTTCTCACTGTTTTAAGGACGATTTAGCTCATCAGCGTTGGCTTCGCATTTATCTCACTCGGCAAAAAACCTAATCGTTACACCTTTTCTTATTTGGGTAATGTGATATATAAGGTAAGTGATTGGTTTATTAATTCCACATTTATTTCAGAAAACTGATAACCGTAGTGACGGTGTTGTTCATCATGAAAACTCTGTGGGAACTGTGCTTGTACGATGACAATAAACAGAAGTACATCTGGTAAAATTTTCAATGTTATTTGTACTTATCGAATGTTGAACACTATTGTACCATAACTTTTCACATTGTTAAGCTGTTATCTTTCACTTTGATCTAACATTATTTTAAATAATGAAAGGTAATCCTACGCTTGATTTATAAAAATGTCTACTTGAGTTCACATAGATATCTTAACTCCTTTTGTTACCATGTCTACCATTGTTATCGGAATGTATTTCAATTGTGTGTATATGACAAGAATACACTATCCTACTCACAAGTAGTTGAGTAAAATAATGAATCAAAAGAATTAACCCTCATTATTTTTGTCACATTGAAAATTCCGTATTGAAGATAACTGATTATATGATTGTATGATAAATTTTACACTAAAAACAAAACTTCAGATGATTTGTTTACTTGAAAATTACACTTTTAATGTTTAAGTGAAACTAATATAAATTCAAGCATGGAATTTATCAATGGAGAAACTTCTGTATGACTGAATTAAACGATTCAACTTTCGGAAACATTTATTCTTCAATAATAATCTAGAGCAATCAACAAATATGAAAAAAGTAGGATATAATGAATTTATAGATTTTTAGCAGAACACTTCAGTTAGGCCATCTACATAAGAGAAAGGGGATTATTTTTAAACAACACTGAAAATTCTTTTACAGCAAATTCGAGACAGTAAGGATTTTATTAATATCAGCCTTAACAGAGAAGAATGTGTGACCCTTATTAACACTGAAGACGTGCAAAATATTCTCCGACAAATCAAAATAATAATACCAAGGATCAGACTTCGTGCATCGAAATGCGAATTTGATCACATTGACGAAAGCACATGTGAAAGCATCATGCCATTTTAAATCACAGATCTCACATTGACATAGATGGATTAAAATATACAACCTAAACGTACCTTTAAGAAGAACATTGCCAGTGATAAATCCACCCTACGAAAAAGAGGCTTCCTAATTTTGTGAAATTCTTGAGCTAATGAAAAAACGTTTGGAAAAACACAGGGTTTCAGACAACTTCCTGTTTGTTCCAAACATTCTCACTCTAAATGGTACTGGTAACCATCTCATCTCACTTGATATTGTATCTCTGTTCGCAAGAACATCAGCTGATGAAACCATCAACTTTAATTTTATGCATCAAGAGCGTCCAAATCCAGTTAAAAGAAACAGTTGTTTTGTCAAAATGACAGGGTGGCAATGGGAAGTTCTACGGGTCTCCTTTCTGATTTTGTATTTCTGCTTACTCTAAAAATTAATAGATTCAACTGCTATATAAAGTAGACAAAGTTTTACGAGCTATACGTGGATGAAATCACCGTATGCAAGAACAAAATGAAGTCAGAAGAATTATTATCGGGCTTTAACGCATATCTTCTGTACCTGAACTTCATGTTGTAGCATAAGAAAATTATATGGCCGGATTATTATACATTCCTTTGGTAAAAACCACTATAAACGGAACAGTATTTCCATTTAAAAAGTTTCATCCCTACCTAATAAAAATGGGGCCTAAACGGTTTTTGACAAAGCCAGGAAAATATGTTCTGATAGCAAAGATGGCTATGAAATAGGGACCTTGAAAATGATATCGGTAATGAATGGATACTCAAAAAGCTTCATCAGCAAGTTCTTCAAATAGGCAGTGAGTGAAACAACGTTCATGGAAGAACCAAAAAGGCTGGTCAGTAACATTTAAAATTGATGGTGCGTTAGAGGCGGATAGGCGAAAAGCGAAAAAAATCAATCTATATGACTGCACATCCTATTCATATTCACTTTATCAGCTTCCCTGCATTGTTAGATATGAATAACCTGAATGCAGATACTAACGTCATTAAAACTTTTAGGTTCAATGCAATCCTATGCCAAATGTTTGCACTAAATTATATGCGCACATAGCCTTGACGTATAGAATGAAGTTGGAATTCATCATGGACTGATATCAATTGGAGGAACATCGGAAACCTAGAAGCACTGGACAGCTATCTCGTTTTAGTATGGTGACTAGCTTTAAGAGGTGATTCCCGAAGTTCTAATGCGAAGTCGTGACCGATGGACCCAACCAAGTCGAGCATGAGGACAGTCACTCAACGACGATGTTGGATGGAGGTTGCGCTATGTAGTGTACTTATAGAAATGGGAAATGTGGACCATAGGATTCTGATCCAGTGGCTCAACGGTAGCCTGCTGGCGACGGAACTCGAAGGTCCTGGGTTCAGTATCTGGTAAGGTCATGGGTGTGTACTGCTGAGGAGTCCCAAACCAAGACAAGACAGCTGTCCAGTGCCCCACGTTTCCAATGTTTCTTCAATGATGTCAATCCATGATGACTTCCAACATGAAAACAACTAATAAATCTCCAGAGACCTCCAGACAGAGTGAAATAATTGACTAGGGTCTTGTATGATCCAACTTAACTAGAAACTTAGAATAATTCAAAAGACTGATATCCTACTTCATTGAAAACTGAATAACACTTCACTCAATGTAGTGCTGAATGCAACCGCTGAAATACAGTGCTGCAGTGTGAGTCAGAATGCAGTTAAATGTAGTTCTTCTACAGAGCAGTAGTGCAAATTACCATTGATCCAATTTTCACAGTTCACTACCAGTAAAACGGTTTCCACTTTGTACTGATGATGAAATGAATAGTCTGCAATCATTCAGGTAAAGTCACTTTTCCTAATATTTTCCAGCTACTTGTTTTTTTGACTGCAAACGAAGAAAGAAATTAGGACAGTGCTGTTACTTGCTACGTTAAAGTATTCAGGTCGTAGCTAGTAGTGTAGGCTACATCTGAAAGATCATGTTGGCTAGTTGCAAACCGACCTACAACTGTTAGCCACCTAATCTTCCTACTTTAAACCATTGATTTAAATTGCTGCCTTTAATACTACTCACACTACAACCACTGCTACTAATTATATACAAGAAAAACAAAGAATCCCTTTAACACAACAGTCTCTTTATTAATGATCTCACTTGAGGATAATGTTCTTTTCACGATGTCACTATGTTCTCTGGGACGTTTTATTCCGGTTATCAATTCATATTTTCCTGTACAAACACCTACGTCGACGCGAAAACAATACTAAACAGCTAATAATCTCATACTATTTACTCAGTTGTTTATGACATCATGTAGACGGTAATAAACAACATTTCACAAATGCAATCAGCTACAACTAAATTATACAAGCTTTCATTTACCTCCAGGGTCAGTGTCAAATCCATACGAAAGCGTATGGTTTACTAGGTTGTGCGTAGCAGAGGAATGCAGGACCTACATTTCTTCCTACTTAGGACTTATCAGTTGGACTTACATGCACTTCAGTGAGTGACGTTGTTCCCACCAAGACTAAAAACTCGTATCCATTGATTCAAACACCAAAGCGCTATCCACTAGGCCACAGAGGTACGATAGCCACCTCTTTTACAACGGGTATAAGTAATTACTATTTGTTTATATACTTGTAATTCTCCGTTGTTATACTGCCTCGAACCGGTCAATTTTACAATAATAAGCATCCAGGCGTTGTCGGCGCGTCCTTATAGCAGTCCATATGATAACAGAAGTTGGTCAGTACGATTCATTATCACATTGGATAATTACAATTATATCAATAAATAATCTACAAAAATATTTTTTTCAACTAAGTCCAATTAAAAAAAAAAGCAATTACATTATCCAGTCGACGAATTTCCGTTAATCACGTCTGGGTAATTCATATACCGTCAGCCAATCGAAATACACTTTAGCTGACAAAATGTTTACATTTAAAGGAAATCTTTCCCTTTTTTCCCACGACAATGACTAGTCCAAAAGTTAATATATTCACCTATATTCACCTACCCATCTTTTATTATTACATAATTTATCTGTTGATTATCATGAACTAACGTACATGTCAATCTTCTAACGTGATATTTTGTATACCTTCTTATTATTTTCTTGAAATTTTTGTCGAATCACAGATACAACTGAAAATTCTTGATATATCTTATTAGCCTTATCCAAATATTTTCATTCTGTATTAAACAGTTAACTAACTTCATGTTCAAGTTGTTTTCTTATGTAATATTTAAGTGTTTTAAATTATAAGCAGCTGATGAGAAACCAATGAAATAAAATGTTACCATATTAGTCTGCTGTAGTTGTTGTTCTTTCTCTGTTCATGTTCATAAACAGGAATATGTATTTGAAAGGATATAATGTAACCTACAATGAATACACTTCTCCAACAACTAAAGAAAGTTATTATTAATATTAGAGTAAAACTTAGACACTGTGGTCGATTGTAGTTCCATTTCAGTCTGTTTATTAGAAATATCACACAGTAGCATTTACTGGATAACTTTTCGGACAATTTATTGTCCATGTTCATATCAGGTGTTTCTTACACATTACTGTTTCTTACACATTTCTCTTCAAACAATACACAAGCTAAGTAAGATATGACTAAGGTTTGCATGTAACTGTGCGTGCAGAAAGTTTCACTTCTTGTCTTCTCGTAGTAGAGATATGGTGACTAATGAGGATGCAGGGAATGTTTGTCATCAGACAAAATATTTCTAGCCAGCCCCATGTAAGAGTTCAGATGCCTATCCACGAGTGAAATGATTAGCCCGGTTAGTCGTGTAGCACTCACTCTACTTACAGCCTTCAAAATCCTATGCAGTGCAGCACAGCCTTTTTTCTGTATTACAGGAAAGATTTCAGGAAAACAATAAATAAGAACAGGTAAAACTCAGGAAATAACGATACTTAAGAGTAGAGGCTGGTTTATACCAGACACCCTGAGTTTACTTATATAAAAGATCAACCGAATACTTCTCCTCGAAATCAGTAAAATATGAGGGAGGCAAAAAAGAACAAAAGGAAAGTATCAGTAGACCTGGTTCACATCTGATACATTATCTACAGCACAGCTCACAATACGATAAGAGTCGTGGGACTGAAGCAATTCGTACAGGTTTTGTTCATATCTTAAGCTGGGAAAAACCATCTCACATGCAATGATTCGCTTAAAAAGCCCTAAACAGAAGACCATTGGACAAAAAATCTGACAGTAGGCGTACATTTGATATCCACCTCAGAATAAACACTACTTCTGAGTTACTTAAGTCTTCATATACAAATCCCGCTTCATAAATTTGAGACAATCGAGGGCGACAATGGGGGCAGAAAGGAACGAAACCATTTTATTTTGATGGTATCTTGTCAGTTGTTTGGAACCTAGGATGTCAAAATATGGTGTACTTCATTTAACTCACTGAAAGGAAACAGAATATATCGGTCAGCGGTTATGAGAGACAGAAATAGTCATAGAGTAAAGGTCAGTCATAATGACGAATTCAAGATTAACAAACGGTAACAAACTGTCAAAACTGTATTCATAATTCATTGGAAGTCTCTCGATTCAAGATAATGATAGCAGTACAATTCCGGATAGAGCGATCTGTCATTCTAAGATTACGTAAGTAGGTCATATGACAAATAAGCAAAATATTTTGAGTTTAACTCAGTTAATTAAAAACATCCCATGTGAACAAAAGATGATTCAACTAAATAAAAACGAAGAAATAAGCATCAAAAGTTGATAAAGGATAATGTCGCCAGACAACAGTCAAGAAAGGTTACTAAAGTAGACAGACGTCGATGACAGTTTATTTCTGAACACATAAGGCGTTTGATACCTATGGTTTCATTACACTTCAGGAGATTTTCGCTCGTTTCTTTGCTTACTATCTGAAGTCTATCTAATCCTACTCCATAGTTGTCCTTACTAAAAAAATATTTGAGGTTATTTCAAGTTATAAAAGTTAATTTGTTGAATGACAGATATATGTTTGCTGTTATTATTACGTTCCTGTAGCTTCCACCAATCAAAGTAACAATATATTCAGGAAAATTGTAACTTCTTAGGCGCATACATGTGATAATTTTTCACGTTCCGTGAAATTTCAGTTTTGTTCTTGGACGCTTCATCGCCATACTAAGCTTTTCAACACAACTTACTTCAGGCACGGATGTTGCTTTATGAATCTATATTAGCTGTGTGACAATGCTTAGTAACAACGACATAAATGTAAAAGGCTATCATACTTGGCATCGTCGGCAAGAGGATTCATCTTCTTTCTATCTTGTTGGTTGAAACTTTGGTTTTAAAACTTTATTCATTGTTTTATTTTTTTTCGTTTCATAGCGATAATAATAATAGTGGCGATATTATTTTCGAAATATCTGAAGCAGGTACCAATTAATTTTTCAGTGCATTTGTTATATGTTGATTTGATGAGTAAAGTTTCAGCTGTTTGGTTAGTGATTTATAAGGATGGCCGGATAGTAACACGCTTAGTGTGAGACCTGATGCCCATCAAAGAGTCATGAGTGTGCACTGCTGAGGAGTTGCATAATAAGACGAGACAGTTATCCAGTACATCAAGAGGAACCACATATCTGCAAATAAACTCACTCCGAGATGAACACTACTTTCAAAGCTTATATAATCAAAGTTATTAGTTTCAGATGGAGTAATTTTTCTTTACTACCACTCTGTCTTATTACACTATGTGGTTACATGAGTAAGTGCAGATGTACATTTTAAACTCACTAATTTCAACACGTTGCCTGCATCTATACATCGAAAGCAAACGCTTGTCAATGTATCAGAAAAGATTATATTCATTCTGGAATTAATCGATATGTTATAACCAGTTCAAACACACGATGAGATCTCGGAAAGAAATCAGTCTACGATGAAGACTTTCCTGAAGTCAATCAACGAATCACTCAGCATAAACCTGCACAATAAATTTAAGTTTATCCCTGTACTTCTTATTTTTCAAGAACTCCCGCTTTGCTGGTGTTTAGAGCTATAATACCTTTTACATTGAAACCTTACTTAAGTTATGCCAGTGATGAATTTGTTTGCTGTACAATGTACCAATTCATCTTGGTAGAATTTGAAAGGAATGTCTAAGCATATAGTTATTCAACTTTGGTAATATTTCGAGTTAAACTACTGTCTGTGATCATAGTTGTTGTTGTTGCTGAATGCAAACATTTTACTTTTCCCATCCAGAGATAAACATCATGAACCACATTGATATTAGACACAGTTAAAATATTAAATAAATCATAGTCACTTTTTAACATGTAAGAATTTTCACTTGTAGTCATCATGTTGATTGAAGCCTGTCATTCTTAAACATTCCCACAACTGGTCAGTAAGATGGTCAACGAGCCATCTGCAGTAAATCTGAACGAAGAGGAGAGCACCTAGATTACCATAGTTTCTGTTTACTTCAGTATAAACGCGTACTGATCAAGTGTCTGTTCAGTCGGATTCAAAGGATTTGCATAGTGACGCCTCAGAGGAGTAAAGACAAAGCCTCATCAAAGTATTATTGAACAGAAACAACCATCTGAAATTTCATGATCATAACAGAAATACCAAACGAAGGTCCACTGTTCCTGAATGATGTCTATATGACGCCATTGTACATTGAGCGACAAACAAAGTTTGATAATTAAACGGTGACTTAATGCAGTCCTGCGTATCATGCAACGATAGTCAGCATTGTAGAGCGTTTAACAACTTGCACGCATGTGTGGTCACATATATATAGGTAAAATCTGACAATAATTAAGGGTCATGGCGCCCATTCCAAGATGGCTGCCACAACAAATCAAATCAAGTAGTCCTTTTATTCAGACAACAGATTCAACTTTGTCTACAATTGGACGTATCTTTGAAATGATTCACAAAATCGATTTGTAGGCATCTTTCAAAACTCATTGTTTTTTTCTTGAAATTTGTCAAGGCGATTAAACGTTTCATTTGATGGCACAACTGATTCAAGAAAGAACAATATGAAAAATCTATAAAACATTATCTTTATCCAGGACAAGCAACAATTTCACTGGAATTCCTTTGAAGAAATGACTCTGATGATATTTGTTTGTGATTTAAAACACATAACAGAAATCAAATTACTGTGAAAATACTCTTTAGCCATGAAGAAACACATTTTTCAAACATCTTACATAAATTATTAGCTAACTTACATTGATGTAAATATCAGAAGAATTTATCGACAACCTTCTTGCATTCGACTGTTGAACCCATTCAACTGTTCCCGGTGATAATGAATTCGGCAGTTGTTCATTGACAAAAGAATTTCCAACATCATAGACTAATGTTTTATCACCATTTGAAAGAGTATTAACATTGGAGCTTTTCAAAATCTTTGAGGATTTAAAATCCTTTGAGTAAATTAGAGGAGTTTTTTGACCAAAACTAAACGGACAGTAGATCAATACAAAATGTGACATACTTAGTATAATAGATAATAGGAAAAAAAGACATTCAACTATTATGATTGTAGTAAATTTCCTTGTCATATTTTTGGACGTTCTGTTTGTCAATGAAGAATTGTATTCATTTCGATTTATTGATACTACATTGTAAACATTCATATTCTGAAGACTGTCAAACAACATATGACCTATCATACTAATAACAAAGGAATAAGTATCATTAATCTCAACTAATTTGAGCAATGTTATTGAACTATTATTATCAGTTGAATTAGTTGACAAATTGCTGTTTTTAACAATTGGTTCAAATAGATAGTTCAAAATCCCACCATCTTCAAATGGTGCTACAGTTTGTCCAATTTGTTTGAATTGATGAATTAGATTAAGTTGAAAATTTGATAATGACATTGAAAATTGAATTTAGAGCTGTAGTAAAGGGAGGAAAAATGTAGTAGAAATAGTGATATTAAGAGACTACAATGATTTTCAGTATAGCAATAAATCATTTTCAGAATATGAACATGCTTTGTAACTGAATTTTATCTATTCTCTCTTGATTACAAAAACGGTGCATATAAGAAATATTCCAAGTTGGAGCTTGGATATCGTTGTCATTTGACTTCTTCATTGCGTAATGAACCAACCTTTGTTTAACCAAATGAGGATATCTGTTTTCAAAGCAACGGAATAGTGTTTACATAACTAAAACAGTGACTTTTGTAGATAACCTTATGAAACCTCAAAAGTTCCGTAAACAGAAAAAATGTACCCAACTAGCTAATATGAATGAGCTTATCCAAAGTTACCGATATCAGGTTAAAATAATAATGTTTTGCACATCCTCAGCGATTTCTTCATTCAATGATAAAAGGATGAATAAGAAGACTAGATATATACCAACCATACAACGAAACCTTATTTCTTAAAACGATGTGTGTCTATGTATTAGTGAGTGTTTTCGTTAAGTTTCATGTTTATATTGTTTCAAAGCTATCACTGAAAGCTTTCACACATAGACGCAGGTATAGTAAGTTGTCCATTCAATGTATCTTAAAAACCATTGTGTAGCAGTTGTTTCGTCCCAGTATGGGACTCTTTCGCAGTACGCACCCACGCCGCCTTCAGGGGTCGAGCCCAGAACCTTTTGGTTTCATGGCAAATGAATTAAATACAACCTTAAAAATAAAATTCCTATAAGCCTGATACTATATTGTTTTCAAAAATTTCGCTAGCAACGTTTTTAAAGTCCAGGAAGTAAGTTTAATACACTGGTAAATATTTTATTAATTCTCATTGAACGTGTTGCATAACTGTGACAATCCACTGTGTCAGACCACTTTCCCCTGCACGAAAAGAAGCGGGCTGAAGATACTTATATATATATATATATATATATATATATATATATATATATATATGCAAATAACCATCGAATTAAAGACAGAAAATATTCAGAGTCAGCTAACGAGTACAATGTAAAATACACAGTAAGTTGGTGGTGTTCAGAAACAGAACAATGTGACTTGTGTCGGCATTAAACAATTTTCATTGAGACAGAAATCTCACAAGACCAATCTCAGAAGATCTCTTTAGTTTCTGTAACCTTCAGTTAAGCAAGTCTAGAAAAGTGCTATAGTTAATGATGATCTGGAACACTGATTTGTATGCATTGATTTCCCCAAATGGGGATAATTCCACTTTAGTCTGTTAATTAGAAATCTAAAATAATGAAACAATATCATTTACTACTTAACGTTTCAGACACAGCTTGTTGTTTATATTTATATTAGGTAACTTCACAACTTTGACACATTATTTGCATAGTCTTAATCTCCTCCCCCTTTTGTGACAAGTGTAGTGGAATTTTTCATCTATCTGGGACAGGTGCAGAATCTTTTTCCATTGCATGTATTTGGTGTTGATTCGGTAAACAAAGATTCGGTCATCAATCTCTTCCTCCATCCAAATAAGTTAATCTTCGATGCTGTCACTGTATCGCACCCTATTGTATGATTGTGTGTAATCGCGTTCATATTCTTATGGATCCTGGTCGACTAATATTTAACCTCGCACTCATTGCAGGAGATTTGGTAAACCAGATTATTTTACTTTATTGCATCGATAGGATCTTTTAACCTACAAAACTTGTTTCTAAGCGAGTTTGTTGTTTTAAATGCCACTTTAATCCCACCCTTACTGAGAATTCTTCGTAACACTTCATAAGTTGGAAGAAAAATACTGTCGCAGGTGTCATTAATGATACTTCTACTACTAAAAGTAATAGTGGTGACAAGGTTGGGAGAGGATTCAAAGCCCCTTCTGTGTTACCATACAAAGAAGGCACTTCAGAAGCATCACGAAGAATCTTTATTTATCAAGTCAACACCAAATACATGCAGTGGAAAAGATTCTGCACCTGTTCAAGGTAGATGGAAAATCCTATTACCCTTGTCACAAAGAAAGGGAGAAAATACAGGCTATCCGAACTCTGTCTCAAAGTTGTGAAATTATTTGGTATGAATATGGACAACAAATTGTGTCCGAAAATTTAAGAAAAATTTACGGGAAACCTGGTGGACGTGAGGACCAATACTCAACGATGACATTAAGTGATGGCTGCGCTATGTCGTGAACTGACAGAAATTGGAAATATGGACCACTGGATTCTGACCAAGTGGCGCAATGGTAATATGTTGGCAACGGAACCTGAGGGTCTTAGGTTTTACCCCTAGTGAGGTGGGGTCCTATGTGCACACTGCTGAGGAGTCCCGTACAAGGACGAGACAGTTGTCCAGTGCCAGCAGATTTCTGATGTCCCCTAAGTGGTGTCAGTCCATGGTGAGTACCAAAATGAATTCATTGTATTCAGTAACTTACTCATTATGTTTCTATAAAAATTTACTTCCTCTTATGGAATCATAAATGTCAACCATACCCTACATCTGCTTCTTAAGCGTACTGACAAACGTTAATTATATCGTTTTGTAAAGAATTAAGAGGATCCTTTCTCCGTTGACTGTTAGAACACTCGATGGATTCTGGACTTCTAGTGTACCCATAGTCTGATTTCAGTGTCATTTTTCCTGCACGCCGGAATCTTTTGAAAGCTGTAAGAATGCAGCTACTTCAAAGTGAGCAAGCCATTAAACTGCGCTCATTTCGCATATTTGTATTACATTCTATAAGTTAGTTATGTAATTTTACAACCATTTTATCAACTGGGAACAGGTTTTGAAAAACTATAGCTTACTTACTTTCAAAAGTCATCTACATACCTCACTATCTAAAACAAAGAGATAATACTGATAAGAAAAGACTATAAATGATGAAATTTTACTGACTGAAAGTTCCGAATGGGATAAATTATTTACGATAGTCTAAATTATGAATAAGTTTCCAAAGACTTATATATGGATTAATGAAACTGTGACCTCCAGAAGTTCATTTCAAAAACATGCTCGAAATTACTAGGCTTTAAAATAATAAAAAACAATTTGGTAAATTTATAATGTTTTGAGGTTATTCTTTTAGAAGCTGTGATATCTTCCACCGGAAGCATTTATTAACGCCATCAAGGTTGAAGATAATTCATTGGGTCATTGTCAGGATAAATGTTAGTCATCAATTATTTTACAACAAAACTGACTAGGAAATTAATCTGACACCTTAAAATTAATGCAAATATTACTTAATGCTTTTCAATCAAGTCAATCATTTCTTGTGCTAATTTCAGATGACTTTATAGGAAGTTGCAAAATTGTTAGCTACAAAAGTAATAAGTTGTATACTTTGGAGGTTTGTGGGAGTCGATTGGTTTGCAGCTGATATATATCACTGGCTGACATGAGATGTAGAACCACCAAAAATTCTAGAGGACAGGACAGCTGTTTCGTCCCCTAGTTGGGACTACGTAACAGTGAGAACCAGGACTACATAGACAAAAATAGAACCCAAAATCTTCACATCTCACAGTGAGTTTGATATCAGGACAAAATAGATTCCCCGCTGCTCTGAGGTTTTCAATAATTCCTTAACTGGTGTTGGTCTACGATAACTACTAACTTGAAATGGATGAATCCTAACAAATCCTTCAAAATAGATCACTATATAGTGGTTATTAGTGGCACTTTTCGAAATAGATTTCCTGAAATTGCATCAAAAAGCCGTCACCTGTGGAGCAAATCAAGTCAGACATGAAAAGTGATGCAGAAAAATGGCACTCAATGGTAGCTGCATTATATCATTGATCGTACGGAGGAGTGATAAATGGAAGAAAGGAATGATTGGTACCAGGTTGTCGGTTACGTAATACACAAAGAAATGACATCAGTATGACTAAGATGAACCCAGTGAATAATGCAAGAAAGTGGACATTTGTAGAATAAAATGAGGTCATTTTATTTCATGGCCTTTCATCAGCTGAAAATAGTCTACAGTTGAAATGAATTACTAGTACCAATAACAACATAACATACCTCATATATGTAGAAATAAATGGAGATTTCAAATCCAAGATTGACATTAAGGTAGTGAGGGAGTCAAGGAAACACAGGATTAATAGTTACATACCTTAGTCAAAATCTGTGTCTATTTATATCTGATGAGACAGAAAATTCTGGAACTGTGGAGTGGAGGGGGGACAACAAATGAAAATCGGTGTAAATGAAGTGACTGTTTACAGGCTAATAGGTTACGTAATTACATTAAAAATTTGAAAATCGTTATATGATTAGTATTCAGTAAGTAATGATGGTAATACAATCAAAAGAAGACTACATGCATAAACGCGCAAAAAAACTATATACAATTACCAAGTTAAAGAAAGTTTTTCATGTAATTGCGTAACCTATTAGCCCTTAAACAGTCCCTTCTTTTACACTGGTTTTCGTTTGTTCCCCTCCCCCTTCCATCAACTCCACAGCTACAGAAATTTTTTCTCACTAGATATGAATAACCAAAGATTTTGACTAGGGTATGTAACTACTAATCCTGTGTTTCCTTGACTTCCTCAATACCTTATTGGTAATCTTGAATTTGAAATCTCCATTTATTTCTACATATATGAGGTATGTTATGTTGTTATTGGTACTAGTAATTCATTTCAACTGTAGACTATTTTCAGCTGATGAAAGGCCATGAAATAAAATGACCTCATTTTATTCTACAAATATCTTTGTTCTTATATTATTCAAATTTGTCAAGGCAACTAAATGTACGAGCTCATTGAGTTGAAATCTCTAGGTAAGTTGATCCCAATCCTACTGATATAATTTCCTTGATTTAGATGTACAACTTAAGATTACTGACTTCCAAAATTTTAGATTTTCTGATATGCTAATAACCATTGCCGTTTTCGGCTGTATGTAGTTGATAATGGATCATGCAATCGAATGATGTCATTTTTTATT